CACATATTATATGGTGTGGTAAATTCATAGAAATAGAAACTAAAATAGGTATCTCTGTCCTGGAAAAATGAGTAATGTGGAGTTACTATTTGATAGTTAAAGACACTCAGAAGATAGACAAGGACCAGGAACTGATAGAGGTCACAGTAGCATGGTATTGTGAATGTAGGTAAGGCCACTGAATCATATATTTTATGAAATTAAAAAAATAGTAGGAAATTAACTTAAGTAGCTGAAGCAAGAATGCAGAGAAGGAGACTTGGTGTCTATGCCATCAAAACTTCCAGGTCACCTCATATAGAGTGGTCAAAACAATACCCATCTCATCTCTGTCTCTGGCATGATGATACTGTTTGCACTAAACCAAACTTGAGCCAATATCCAACCCCACTGCCAGGACTTCCTGAAGTCCCACTGCCAGGACACTCAAACTCAATACTCTGTTCTCCACCACCACACACAACTCCACTGCTTTATCTCTAGAAGGGTGCACCCGGAAAGCAGATCCTCAACCCCATTAATCAATAGAGGGAGGCTGAGAATGAGCATATGGAACACATTTTAAGTGCTGAAATTGCAGAGATGTCCCATCTATGTGAGTCTTCTCCAAGTTTGGGAAGGTGTAAGAGATGGGTATTAAGAAGGGAAATAGCCACTGCTGTGATGTATCATTTGAAACGTTATGACTCTTGTGAAATTGGAAATTATGACAAACTATGCTTAGGTAGAACTAGCCATATTTTGGGTGTGCTCTTATGGCATAAGCCATGAGCGAAACAAGTGGCCAGCAAATCAGAAACCATGAAGTTCATTGAAGTTAAGAGAGAACATCCCTCAGGACTCCAAATACCAGTCCTTTAAGGCTGCAAATTTGACACTGACTTCCCTGTGACCCTACTCTTTGCTAGTCCTTAATTTGAAAGCTATCAATTCTGGGAGCCCTGTTAAAAATAAACATTCGAGCCAGGCGTTGGTGGCACACGCCTTTAATCCCAGTACTCGGGAGGCAGAGGCAGGCGGATCTCTGTGAGTTCGAGGCCAGGCTGGACCGACAGCCTCCAAAACAGAGAAACCCTGTCTCGTCAAACCAAAAAATAAAAAAATAAAAAAATAAACATTCGTCCAACTTACTGCTGGCACCTTGGTGGCATTCTGGATCCAAGTGAGATAAATTAAGGGACTGGCTATTGGCAATATCAAGCAGATTGTCTATGGCGCTAAATTTCAAAAAGAGAAATAAAGAACAGAGAAAGAGAGAAAGTAAAAGAGATCCCATGTGATTAGAGTCCTTCAGATGTATTAGTAACTTTTGAACTATTTGGTTGATCAAGGAGAAAGTAACATCATTTACAAAACCACAGCATGTTCAAACACCACCCTTTGTGAGTATATGACTTATTTCTAGCTCCAGGCATCACAAGTGGCTACTTAAGAGTTCTAGGTTCAAGGTTTTTTAATTAGTCAACATTATAAAAGAAAAAGCAAGGGCTGATGAGATGGCTCAGAAGGTGAGGCAATTGCAGAGCACGCCTGGTGACCAGAATTCAATCCATGGAGTCAGCATAAAGATGGATGAAAAGAACTGACTTTACTAAATTGTCCTCTGAGTGCCACATGCATGCATGCATGGGTCTGTGAACATACACACAAACATGCACACATCATATCACGTACATAATGTGGGGATCAGCAAGATGGCTCAATGGGTAAAGGTTGATGGAGACAACCAACTCCTAGAAGTTGTTCTCTGACCAACACACACACGCAGGGCAATTAAGTGCAGTTGTTAAAAAGGATAAAGTAAATCTGTGGCTGGGAAGAATTATTAATGCAAGGAATCAAGCAAATGAACAAAAACAATGAACAATGAGGTGGGGAAGGGTGCCTAAAGGTCACTCACAAATCAGAGACTTCATAGACAGTAGAAATGTATTTCCATATCAGAATAAGGTTTTCCAAGTTTATAGTCTTATCCCTAAACTCAACCATACTTAAGTATCTCTATAGTTAAGAAACTCCCCCCATGGAATTAAGGGCTCCAACAATAAGAGTTGTTTGATGGGTGGACTCTATTGGATGTTGAACCATGCTCTTGAGACATAGAGTGAAAAAACTGTCAGGGGCAAGTAATGCTGGCAATTAATGTAACAGCAAAAATATAATAAAGGGAAATGCAACCATGATGACAGGATAGCATGCATCTTGGTAATGGCAAAGCTACTTCACTTATTAGAGTGACTGAAACTTCACATGAGAGAAAACCCAACTCAACATTATTTGGAAAACAAGGAAAATTTATTGATTGTACAAAAAGTCCAAGCAAAAGTGTTCCCAGCTCAACAATTGTTAATCTACTAGTTCAATAACATCTTGGGAAGTTCAGTTGAATTCTGTTTATTTTTCTGCTCTATCTTGTCCACACCATCCTTGTCTTCAGATCACAGCACAGCTGAGAGATACCAGATGTCAACAACCAGAAGAAAGGATGAATGGGGAAACATTCCTCAGAATTTCTCAACAACCCTCCTCCCTCATCTCACAGGAACAAAATGGGGAGTTAGTTACCCCTTCACCTACAAATCACTGGTAAGGAAATTTTGATTGTTATGAGTGGGTTAGCATAACATGTATGGAGTTACATCCATTGTTATAAAAATGGACAGTTAGATAAAATCAAGGTTCTTAAAGCAAGGCAGGGAGAGTGATATAAAGCCAACCATATTTGTTCTACCATCTGTCAATGAAGCTGAAGATGTTATGGGTAGTGTGATTCTGTTGTTGATTCTCAAAACACAAAATGTTTTTCTAAAAAGTACTGTGTGGTATGCATTTTGGTTTAAGACCAAACAAATAATCTGCAATCCAATCCCTGCCTGTAAGTAATCAGTTTGTACCTTCTGGTTTATGTTCATTTCTTTATCTGAAACATTCTTCATTTAAAAAGGGAAGCTAACTTTAACCACACCAGTAATTAGCATACAAATAATCTGTGACTAAATTTTTTAATGAAAAAATTTTACTGTATTGTAGGAAACTCCCAAAATAGCAAGGTTAATAAAAGCTTCAGAAGAAAGGGTATCAAAGACATATTCAAGAGGAGGTGCTTGCATATGTTTTTCTTAACTTGATGTTCTGATATGACAAGTTAAAGGAATCAACGCATTGCTACTTATTTAATAATGAATGCAATCACTTCCCAGTTTATTATGATTTTGTTTTGTTTGGTTACATTATGTTTGCATTAGAGGGTGCATCAATCCCTTCCAAATGAGAAAACTGAGGCCATGAAAATTATTTAAAAATTATTTAAGCAGCCAATATTGTAGCCATCTTCCTATGAGTATGAAGAGAAGATTATTTAAATTAGGACAAAGATTCTCAAAAGTGTATCTTCTTGGAAGTTTTAATCTTTTCAAAGTATAGCACAAACTAGGCAATGTTAATCTCTCTGACTGTCAACAGCAGTAGTAATAAGAAATGAACATATATTTTCTTTCATAGAAAATATCCAGACTTCCAATCTGATCATGTGTTCATCAACCCTGGCTTAGCTGTTTCTTCAGACTTTTTTTGTGTTTGAGTGCCTTAAAGAAAGAAAAAAACCCTCAAATGATCAAAGCATTCTAAAAATCCAGCGAAGTTGATAGATGTAAAGTGAAACTAATAATAAAATTAAGAGAATTCCCTGAAACCCTGCTCTCTACTTTATAAATTATTTAATACATTAGCAATGAAGAATTAGGAGCAGCAGAGGTTGGAATGGAAGGTGGCAAGACAGCTCTCAGCTCTCACTCTGGGACTCAAATGCCCTGTAGGCAATTAACATAAGAAGGCAGAGACAGAGGCAGGAGAAATTATAAACAAAAGGAAGAGGGCCAAGGCTAGTAGCCTACTAAGAACAAGGGATGTAGAGGCAGTTACAGATGTAGGTGAGCTTTGTGTGGGATGCTGCATCCAGTCACACAGACCTTGTGCACTATTATGAGAAAATGAACGACTGAGGTCACCACAGCTTTGTAGCTGTGATTTCTCAATCTGTTTTCTATGTTATTAAAAAAACTCACAATCAATACACTTATGTCAGTCCCTGTCCTAGAATAAACACCTTAGAAGACATGGTAGGGGTCTTTCATCTTGGCACTAGAGGCAATAACAGATCTCTTAAGTGGGTGAAGAAGTGAGCTTATTTTGAAAATGGGAAAATGAAGTGATTCTGTGTCACTAGGATGAAACAGAAAAGTAAGTGAGCCAGCAGAGACGGCATGTTTTCCCCATTGTGCTTATTTCCTTCATGAAATTACTGCCTACCTCCTTACTACTCCCTTAAGTGCTACCGAACTTCCTGGGGCCAGCTCATACTTCAAATACAAGATCAAAGGTCTTCTGCTTCCCCAACTCCATTTTCATTGACACCACAATAATTTCTCATTAGCATCACATACTTGGATACAACTAATATTTGAGGAGCTAGGCACACCAGGCATGTATGACTTGTTTGCCCACTAAAACTGAAACTTCATGACAAAAGGAACTTTGGCTTTTTCTCTTTTACATGTAATAGAGTGCTAGGCATGAGGAACTAACCACCCATGAGTAATGAATTCTACCTTTTTCTTAAAAACACTTGATTTTCATTCCATTTTGCCTTTATGAAGTCTACTTTTCATCCTCTATCTTTTACAAACATTAACAATCACTTCATAAATATCTACTTTTATATCCTCAAGAATGAGCATCAAGAAACAATTTCTTGGAAGACAGTTACCTTATACAATAGATATATCAATGATTTTTCAACAGTTATAAAATAAAAAGAACTTTTTTGTCATAATAAAGATTCAGTAGCCGAATGAGATCACTATAGAAGGAGGCCTTGCCTTTCCGGGACCTCCGGAACAAATGTGCTATGATGAGGTTAGGTTACCCTCCGGATGACTGACAAAGACACTGTGCATAGGGCCAGTTGACAGAAAATCCAGCAGTGACCCTCTCATACTTACAAAGAAACAGGAATTGGTGGTGGTGGGAAATTTGGCTTTGTGGTTAGCTAGTAAGAAGATAAAAAGGGAAAATCAGCTTGGAATAGGTTCTTAAAATGTGTGTGCATACTGAATATGTTTAACTCATTTTCAGCAACAGAGACCTTGAAAACTTAACCATGCGAATAATTTTAAACCCATGAGTTTGACACTTCCATTTAGTTACCTGCATATAATCCAGACATAAGCACAGTGTCAACAACTATGTGATAAGAATGGCTACTGTGGGATTAATCTGTGCATCCACACAAATCCTATGTCAATGCCCCAATCCTCAGTGTGATGTTTAGGTTTGGGAGCATTCACATCTTGGGGGTGGAGTTGGATCGAAATTGGATCATGAGGAAACAAAGAGATGACTGTATCTCTCCTTTCCCTATTCTTACTCCTCCCCTTTTCTATCCATTTCTCCCAAACGATAGACCAGGAAGGAATCCTCACCAGACACCAGGAACTTCTAGATCTTCAATCTTAGCATTCCCAGTATCAAGAACAGGCAGAAATAAATGTTGTTTGATTTATTTGGCCTATGCTATTTTTTGCTGCATCGACCTAAACTAAAAATAGATTCTATGGTGCAGATGAATTGTAATGAATAGTTTTTGCCATCTTAATACAAATCTAGATTTGATGAGCTTAGAAGCTATAAGCTAAAATAAATCACTTTCTCCAAGTTCTTCTTGGTCATGCTTTTTTAACTCAGCAATAGAAATGCCAGCTAAGAAATGAGTATTCTACATAATCAACACCTGCTTCTAGGTTCTTAATTTAAAGGATAAATTCAAGAGGAAAACGTTGAGGCACACATTCCCATATTTTACCTTATGGTTTTGCATAAGAATTTATATTTTACATTAATGTGCAAACAAATCTCAGTATTCTGAATCCACAGTTGAGCACTGTGGATTATGTCTTTTGGGAGCATTTCCTTGAGGTTGGACTGTATTAAAGAGAAGAGAAGTTGCTAACTCACGACATTAGGAGGAGGCTCATTCTCTTCAGTGGGAATATCAGACACATGGAGCTTCTTCATCTGACCCATCTAAAATGAAGAAGTTGAACTTTACAGTGAAACCACCAGGTACCAAAGTACCGTCGTCAGATAAGTTACCCTTCCCCAGCCTGTATGCTAAGGATGAAGCTGATACTTGGGAGACAAGACAGAAGTGATCCTAGTAGCCTAGCTGTAGCATTTATAGGAGGATTTCCCTAGGGCTTGCCAGGACAACTTCTGTCACAACCATCACCACTGATGTTGTGTTATCTACTTCAATTCAAAGCCCTAAACACATAAGACATGGCAAGGGCTGTAAGTGTCATGCATGTTACATGCTTCATGGATGATCATACATATATACATCACTTTTTTTGTATAGAGGAATTTACCAGGAGTAATAACTATCTTAGAGTCGGGGTGGACAGAGTGAAAGTGAGTTGGAGGGGAGGACAGAATTAAGTGGAGAAGAAGGACAGGGAGGGAAAGAGGGAGAGGAGGGAAGGGGAGGGAGAAGCTGTCAACATTTCTCCCCTTTATGAGTTTCAGGAGCTTTCTGCAAGGGCTTTTATAAGATACATTTTTGTGTATTAACAAAACACTAGAGGGAGTGGACTGTGTATGTGGGCACAGATCTCACAGACCGTGCTTTCTGCTGATGTGGGATAGACTTCTAGGCACTACTGTGCACAAATGACAGACATGTGGTCACAATAATAAAAGAAGGTGGCAAACCATAAACTCAGACATCACAAAATAATAATTCAAAATTGAATTCACCTCCTGGGATTGAACTGCCTTCACCTTTGGGGGTTTACACTTCTGCTTGTGTAGCTTGGCATCTGTGGCAGACAATGGCCTGTAAGGAAAATATATCCTGTGAGCTGAACAGCACCTTCAGCATTCCAGGAAGACTCAACAGAGGATAGACAACTTCCTTTGCCATCTGTGCCATGCTCCGCTAGCAGTGTTCCATGTGCTCTCAGAACACTCCTCAGCTTTTAGCTGCAAGTTATTCACCATTATTATCCTGTGGTTAATAACTACAACTAGACATTTCCTTTTTGTTTCTTGGCAGAACCCTGATCCATAATGACAATGTTAAGCCAATTTTTATCTAAATCATTACATTTAATGATTTTTAATTCATTAAGTAATTCCCTGAGTCATTTTGTATGAAATAAGTTCCAGCAAAATAACTCAGTCTTGGAAAGTGCTATAAAATAATCTTGTTGTGTTATGATGGTTTATGAGAAAAAAGGATTTGAATGCCAATCAAGCCTCAACATCTCACTTTGGAAGAACGCAGAGGCCTTTGTTAACCTTTCTGTCTCCTCTAAACTCATTCAAAGTGAATTCCATAGCCTTGAGAGATCTAGAAGTCATATTTCATCCTGAGAATGGGAATACTGCAGCTGCTTCATGAAGTCCTCTCAAAGATTAATTGAGATGATAGGAAAGCCTCAGCACAATGTCTACTAGACAACTGTCAATCAATGTACTCTTATATTCTTATAATAAATGCAAAAAATTAATAATGAGTCCCAATTTCATTATTGTTATTAATTACAAAAATAGCCACTTCAAGGACAAAAAGATGTGTATCTGGTTGTGAAACTTTGCCCAGTCAAAAGGACACCTATTCTCTCATCTGTGAAAAACATACCTGTGTGGTTTTCTCAATATATGAAGTAAAATAAAATCAAACCTGATGGAAATAGTCATAGATTCCAATGTCAAATTAAGTAGAGGTTGAAGGGTCCCCAAAGCACATGGAGGCTTACCTCTGAACTCTCTTCTTCTTCCTTCTGGCACTTTGGTGCCGGATCACTATAGCAACCACCACAAATATCACTGCCAGGGGGAAGAGCACACCAACCACGATAGAGAAATCTATAACAAAAAGCACAGGAACACTATTAAGGACCAAAGAGTTTGTCTCACTTTAGTCTGCTTCCCTCCCCTTCCTTCCTTCCTTCCTTCCTTCCTTCCTTCCTTCCTTCCTTCCTTCCTTCCCTCCTTCCTTCCTTCCTTCCTCCCTCCCTCTCTCCCTCTTTCCCTCCCTCTCTTCCTTCTACTCCTCTTCCCTTCCCTCCCTCTTTTCTCCTTTCCCTCCCTCCTTTCCTCTCTCTTTCACTCTCTCCATTTCCTTTTTTCTTTCCTTTTCAGAAAGGATCTGGCCACGTAGCCCAGGATGGCCTTGTACTTACTGTGTAGCCCAGACTGCTCTCAAACTTGACTCAGATTCCCATATAACAGAATTACAATGGAATGTCATTGCATCTGACTTGTCTATTTTATTTGCCACAAATTTTATCTAGCTTTTAATAAATGATCTTGTCTGCCTGGAAAGTTATACATGATGGTTAACATTTACTATCAAATTGTCTGTGGAAGAAGACATTGGCTAGGTCCCAGGCTGAACTGAAGAGGCTAACAAGGCAAAAAACCTGTGGGTACTGCATTCATCTCTCTCTGTTTCTTGACTGCAGGTACAATGTGACCTGTCACCTCTCTGTTCTTCCACTACTATGTGTTCCCTACCATAATGGACAGGAATCTCAAAACTGTAAGCCAAAGCAAACTCTTCCTTCTTTAAGACACCTTTATCAAGTATTTCACCAAGAAAAAAAAGAAAACTGGCAGAGTTGGTAAAATGCAAACCATGTTGATCATGATTTAGATGCTAATGTTTATAAACAGCAAGTAAAAAAATCCATACGAGACCTTCCATAGGAGGAGGAGGATTAATATCTTCTTACTGAAAATTCTTTGAAGGGAAGAAAGGTGGCTGCAGTAATAAGAGAGTGAAGGTTGGGTGGCTACAGGAGGATATGGAGCAAGAAGGACGGCAGAGCTGGAACACTCCAGTCTTTGAATGAAAGGAGAAAGAGATGGTATTGCCGCCATTGTCAAATGAAGAGAAGAGGCATGAGTAAAAAAGATGATGGGACTTATTCATGCTTTTTCTTTGTTCTTCACCCCCTAGTCTAAGTAATACACTCAGCCTAGATATTTTGCAATCTTGTGTTCATTTCGCTTGTAACCATCTGGAACCAACAAAAACCATGGAGCACACACATCTGAAGAGCAGAGGAGACACTGCTTTTGATACATAGTCCAGTAGCAAGACTGACAATTCCAAAAATACAAGAAAACCTTACAAGGGTGCAGACAAAACACATAGACAAAGGTAGACGCCTCAGAAAGCAGAATTCAAGATAAGAAAATGTTGTCCAGTTCTCTTCAGCTTCCATGAAATTATTGTTCAAAGAAATCAAAGAAAGACCAGAGAGTGTGGCATTTCTGCTTGACACAGCTTATCTTCAGAACGGGGTTGAGTGGATGCATTGGAACTAAGTCAGAATAATAAGCATTTTAAGAACACCATATCAGAATACTTGGAATACTGTCAGTGCTTACAAACATTCCAAGTCTAAGAGGACAACGTTGTGGCTTGGGGTAAAAAATATTACTAACAGATGCTAAGGATGCACTTCAAGACAGAAAAAAATTGAACAGTAAATGTAGCCTTTTCTACTGTTAGCAATGATGGTCTTGAATAGCATATAGCATGAAACTTTTACAAACATCCTCAATTCATTAAAATACTAAAAAATAGAAGATTTTCTTTGTAGACATTGATGAGGTGATAAAAATCTAGAAAAATATAAAGGAAGAAGAGTCAGTTTCTTTAATGACATGACTCCTAGTAGGTCAGCACACTCCAGGGCAGGCCCTACATCAACTCCCAAGAGTGCACTAGAAAAGGAAGAAGAGAAGAACAAGATGATGACAATGACTGGAAGTCGGGTAGATAGGGAAGTAAGAGGGGTGAATCTGGGAGGTGTGAGAGGGAGGGGTAAATACTATCAGAAGGCATTGTATAGGATTCTCAGCATATTAATAAAACTACAGTTTAAGAAAAGACAGAGAATAGCCGGGATAAAGGCACACACCTTTAATCGCAGCACTCAGGAGGCAGAGGCAGGCAGATCTCTGTGAGTTCAACACCAGCCTGGTCTACAAAAGCTAATTCCAGGACAGCCTCCAAAGCCACAGAGAAACCCTGTCTCGAAAAAACAAAACAAAACAAAAAAAGATAGAGAAAGAAATTATCACAGAAAGAAGTTTCAGATATAACTTGTTGGAGAGCTCAAGGTGCAGGTGCAAACTCCAGGACTGACAACCAAAACTGAGAAGCAGGAGGTAGAGGAAGAAGGGTTTGGGGACAAAGGAAAGCAGAAAGAGCAAATGAACCAAGATCAAACTCTAACAGCAGCTGTGCCTTCAATGACAATGGTGTCTCAGTATGTGTTTGTGTGTTTGTGGACTGTAACTAATGCACCACTCTACAGTAGGGGTGAAGGGTGCACCCCTGCACACTGTGCTCAATGTTGCTATGCATCTACAATTCCTTAATAGTAAAATCTAGTTAATCAAAGAGATGTGGAAAAATTTAGGACAACTAATAAAAGAATGAAAAAATGCACACCCTCCAAATTCATAAAAGAAAAAATGATTAACAAAATGGCTAACGTGTATAATACTGCACAAAAATAAAAAAAGAGTAAAAGGAAACTTAAGTGAGGCAAGACACATAGAAACTGCACAATATAACTGAGGGTCTGTATCCCAGCACATTTGTAGTTTGTTCTTCAAATAAATTTTGAAAAATAAAGCTAAACCCAAAGGTATGTGAGATAGCAAGGATTTTAAAAATGCATTATTTTCTTAAAATATTCAAGTTTAAGAAGGATTTAAAAAGGATGAATGTCAATGTGAAGATATTATAGCAACACAAACAGATGGAGAATTGTGGTTCACTCATCTTCGTCTCCAGGAACTGTAGACTTTAAAAGGCAAGAAGCAATAGAGATGCACAGTTCCAGTTCACAACGATGACAGTGTTAATCCACTCAGAAGAACTGATTATTCCAAATATGTATACGGAAAATACCATGATTTCTAATCAATTAGTCACTAGCAGTATCAAATTGTAATGTCAACATTAAGATAAAGTTGTATTCATTTTTATTTTATTGATACATGTGTTCTTAATTGCATGTATGTATGTGCCCCTTGTGAATGGAGTGCCTAGATTCCATAGAAATGGAGTTACAGATGGTTGTAAGCCTTGAAGCTAGCAATCAAACCAGCATCCTCTGTAAAGGCAGCAGGTGCTCTTAACTGCTGAACCATCTCACCAAACCCACAATACACTTTTAGAGTGGTTCCTTTTAAGATACCTACACAGTAACTGGTAGAGCAAAGAAAATAAACTAGTAGCTGGGATTATAAATGAACAATGGTACAGACCAACTTTATACAAAGAACACATGTAAGCAAATGAGGACACAAGTGCAAAATTCATGTTACCATATTTTCCTACACAGAAAATGTGCACACACGACTATGTGCTAAGCCATAAAATAAGCTTCAATGAATTTCATCATATGCTCCACATAAAATATTCCCTGATTACCATGTAATTATTCTAAGTATTAACTAAATAAGAACTAGTAAAATCTCCATTTTCCTGCATGTTAGGAAGTAGATGGCAGTAGGGTGGTTGTGGGGAGAGCCAGGGGTGGGGAGTCAGTGGGATATGTAATACAGTCAGCTGCAAATGGGCTAGAGTATTACTCACTAGGAATAGTATAGATAGAAGCTCACTGTATAGCTGAAAAATCTGGAACAAGGATTTATGAGTACCTTTTACCATAAAAACAGATGACTGTTCTTCACTGTACTTTATCTGATAACTGTTTAAACATGTGTTACAGCTCTTTGATGTGTATAAGAAGTTGGTTTTACGCATGGTTTTAGAGTCTATGATTAAATCCCTAAGTAGTGAAGTTGAAACATGGCAACCATGTTTATAGAGGAACCAGAGTCTGTTCAGAGACAAGCTGGACCCTGATTTTTGCTAAGATGAGAGTCCAATTAAAAACAGTGCTTTGCCTGTCATATTAAGAGTTCTATGTCAAGCTGAAAAAATAATTGTACATTTATGTCTGCAAACCACACTTGTGTCCACAACTTGTGGACACAAAATGATTCATTAGAAAAAAATTGTGTATTATGACTTTTCAAACTTCACCAAGTAATTTTTTAATTATGTCAATAGAAACCAGGAAAAGTACCAGTGAATTATAAAACAAAATAGAATTTTCTCAGCCAAAGTAAATGATAAATGTCTGAAGAAACAGTTGTGTTTAAATTTACTTCAACATTATGTAATGTAAGCATGTACCAAACTATCTCATAATATCTCATAGCACATACAATTTAATGTATTTCCCTGTCAATTAAGTAAGGATAAAATAAAAAACTGATTTAAAAACCTAATCTTATTTCCATGGATTCCATGGTAACATTTCTATTTATTTCTATATAACAGAAATATTTGGTGACATAAATAAATGCCCTTAACTACAATTTAGAAAGTTGCATGAAAACAAACTTCCTGAATGATTACTCTTAGTTTTAGTGAGTCTTATGGTCTTAAACTGTTTATTGGGTATGAATTTTACTGCAAACATTACTTATATTAATGATGAAGTGGAGCTGGAGAGTATTGTGTCTTCTTCAAGCTGATAAGAACCCCCACTGAGTGGAGGAGCTTTTGGCCTCTTCCCAAGGCCAAAGTTCTTGCAGCCTGCCGATGTCAGTCCACCCATCTCTCTGTGCTTGTGTGCTGGTTGGGTGATCCACTGGGAGTCAGTATTTCTTCTCAGCTTTATGGAATGGATTGATGAGGATAATGTCAAATTTGTATGTGAAACCTTCACCAACCCAATAAGAGTTCAGAATTCCCACAGTTTAATAGGTAAATAAAATGAACGTTTCAAGAAGAGCCAAGTCACAGTTTAAGCGAAAATTGGAACCATCAAAGAGCCTTCTAGCCAGGCATTGGTGGCTCACACCTTTAATCCCAGCACTCAGGAGGCAGAGGCAGACGGATCTCTGTGAGTTCGAGGCCAGCCTGGTCTACAGAGCGAGTTCCAGGACAGCCTTCAAAACAATACAGAGAAACCCTGTCTCGAAAAAAAAAAAAAGCTTTCTAGTTAGATAGTTGATTCTGTCCTGAATGTACTCCACAACCCCACCTCAAGAATGATAAATTGCAGATAATAATATATTGTATGATAGTATCATAACCTTAAAAGGTAATGGAGTTTAGAATCTCCAGGAAAATAGGAAGTGAAGGTCTTGGGCAAACAGCAGAAGTAAGTTGAAGCATAAACATTAAAATTAATTGTTATTCTTTTGTTTAAAATGCCAGAAAGTATTTGAACTCGGGACAAACAGTTCATACATGCCCACTCTAACCACATCTCCATTCCTATCCTGTGTGTACACAGGACAATATTGTTTCCTTAACCTTGGGACAAAATACCAAGAATCTCTCCCTAGAGACACTGGGGCTTGGTACAGGAGTACACAAAGTTGGTTGAATCTGGCTCCAGACCTCTAATCTGAACCATGCAGAGAAAGGAGTTCAAGGAGTACTCTCAAGAAAAACAAGGGAATTCATAAAAAGCTTTCTCTCAGCTTAGAGTATTCTTTGTGATGGCAACCAAAAGCAAAGGCTCCCTCGCTGGCTCTTGTCCTCCTTGACAACCTATAGGGTGGCCTGCTTCCTACTCACAGTACCAAAGAGGTATCAGTAGTAGCAACAAACTCTCCAAATGTAAAGAAAACCCATGTGGGCCAGTTTCAGTCAGCTTATTCCCTGGCCTAACAAAGATCACACATGTCAAAGAAAAAGGAGTCAAATGAAATGTGGACAGTATGTGAGTGAACAGGACATCCCACCTGCAGGTAGTATATGCATAAACAGGACAGCCCACCTGTAGGCAGTATTTGAGTGACTAGGACGGCATACCTCAAAACAAAGGAAAGTAGCTCAGAGAGTAGAACCTAAACCTGCCAAGTTGTGTTCTCAGAGTGTCATGAGTTAATATAACCTAATGTTGTGTCTACTGTGGAATTGGAAAGAAAACATAAAGCAAGTAAGAAAATATGATGTATTAAAGTATTATTACAAATGAAAAGTTTGAAGATATCATTTTGTATGAAGATTGACAATGCAAGAATGTTGAAAATATTATTTGAATGTTGCTAAAGAGACTTCAGGGATGAAAAGTATGTGTTCAATAGCTATAGAACAGGAATTTGATGAGGATAGAAAAAAGACAGTGAACTGTATATACCAGGGTAAAAATCAATACTGTCAACCTGACGGATCTAGGATCATCTAGAAGACAAATTCTGGGAGTTACCTGAGTAAGTTTCCAGAGCAAATTAAATGACGTATTTAAAACCTGCCCTAAATGTTGGTGGAACCAGAGACAGAGATCAGTCTTAAGTGGGATATCTTTATCAAACACACTTCAAGGCTCAGGGATCTATGCAGGAGAGGATGCAAAAAGACTGTAAGAGTCTGAGGTGATGGATGGCTCCAAGGAAAGGGAACAATCTAGACACAACAGGACTGATACAAACGAACTCACAGATACTGTGACAGCATGCACAATTCCTGTATAGGTTCAAACCAGACGACTACCAGTAGAGGGGAGAAGAAGTAGACACAAAATTCCACCCCTAACCAAGAAGCTATTTGTCATTGATATCTGTTGGGAAAGGGAAAGTCAATTTTCTCAAGTGGAGTCTCGCTGGATATACCAATCACACTGCAGGACAAGCCCCATGTCCAGAAGTATTTGGTCAACACAAGATGGACTCCATGTGTTTCTGTTTTTGTTTTGGTATTTTTTTTCTTTCTGTTTTGCTCTAATTTTTTTTAGTTTTGATCTTTTTTGATGGAGAGAGAGAGAGAACATGAAGCTAGTAGATTGGGATCTGGACAATTAGAAAGGATCTGGGAGGAATTAGCTAAGGGCAAAGAATATTCAAAAAATGTTCTATGAAACTAATTTTAATAAAGATAATATTTGAAGACCAGCATTCATGTCTCTGTTTCCTGACTGTGGAAGCAATGTGACTAGCTGCCTCATGCTTCCCCTGCTACCATGACTTCCGCACCATAGTAGATGGCATCCTTAAACTGTGATTCCAAGTAAGCCTAACATGTCTTGAGTCCATTTTATTGGGCATTTTTATTCACAAGCAGCAGGAAAGTGACTAATACAAACACAGAGCTTGATAGAAGGAGACAAGTTCTCAGGCAAGAGATGCAGGGTTACCTACGGAAGACTGTGGCAGAATCCTCACAGTCAGGCGGGGCCCATCCTTCCTTGCACTGACACTGCAGCTCATGGTCACACACCTAGTAGAAGAAGGATGCTGTGTCACCATGAGACTTAGTGCACCATTCAAGGCCCCATTCCTTCACAGTGAAGTTGATGTAAACATGAGAGGGACCCGCTCTTCTGAATTTCATCCACTCAGGTGAAATATTAATGGCAAAAGTAATGGGCTCTCAGAGGCAGTGCCCCATGCTATATACTCCCTAGTGTCATATAGACATTAGTAACTGTGATCATTGAGTGCTGAAGGTGTTGTTTCAGCTTCATCACAACAGACCTGGGAAACTGCATATGGCTTATACAAGTGGGGATATCTGCTTTCCAAACTTACTGCATGCCCCCTGCACTTCGAGGAGCAGTTGGTTGACTTGTATGTCTTCTCCATGTCCACACATTCTGCATTAATGCATACCTGAAACAACGTGGAAACATGAGCTCGATGGAGCATTTCCAACAGTTCCATCTCTGTCAATGACAAGCTGGAATTGAGTCTTCAATTTTTCATCAATTCCATGTCATCAAACTCACCTTTTTAAATAATTTTTATTAATTCCTTGTTCCCTAAGAATTTCCTATGACATTTTCTGATCATATTTACTCCCTCAGCTCTTTCCAGGTCCAGCCCCTACCCACCCAAGTTGGTGTCTTTAAAAAAATTCAGGACCAGTTTGTGCTATCAAAATATTCTTGAATGTGTGACTTTACACCAGAGTGTGGTCACCTTTCCAGGGAATATGCTTTTGGGGAGAATTGATAGTCTTCCATTAGCCACCAAATGCCAATAATACCTCATATAGGAGTGGAGCTTTATGTCCACCTTCCCCTTATTTGTTAGCATAATGTCTGGCTTAAGCTTGCACTGGTCCTGTTCATGATGTCACAATATCTTTGAGTTCATATGTGCAGATGTGCTGTTGTGTATATTTAAGATTTCTTTTTATTATTTTTATCGATGTGTCTGTGAGTGAATACCACAAGTATGCCAGTTGCTGCAGAGGCCAGAAAGAAGTATGAGATCACCTGGAACTGAAGTTATATGTAATTGTGAGCTATATAGGTTTGGGGAACCAAACTTGGGTCCAATGGAATATTAGCATGTGCTGTTAACCACTGAGTCATCTAGCAACTAAGCTCAACATTTTATTAGGAAAACACTAGCAGATTTTGAGACACTTAGAGAGCCCTCCTTAAGATTTCTTTGCGTTCCTTCTGATAGATATCTCTTTTCATCCAACGGCTCCTCACATTTGGAGCTATTCTTGATCACAGACTTAAGCCTTGCTATAATTAACATCTGGAAGGAAGGTCTGGGATTATATTACACATGACACTACTACAGTAACTACTATGAATGAGAAGTAAAGGCCATTCCACCCTTCTTCTCTTTATCATTATCAGAGGAGCTAGCATTGATTGACCACCCACCAGTTTCGAGGCACTGAAACTGACAAAGTTTGCTTTTATGAGACTGAATTATCTCACTCATAATAATTTGTTTTTGTTCTATCCATTTACCTGCAAATTTGTGCTTTCATTTTTCTTAGCTGCTCATATTACATTTTGTATACATACTGCATTATTCTTATCCATTCATTTGTTGATGGACATCTAAGTTGTTTCCATTTCCTAACTATTGTGTAGAGAGTGGCAATTAGGATGGGTATGTAAGTGTCTCTATAGTAGGATATAAATTTCCTTTATAGTTATGTCCAGGAGTGGTACAGTTTTTTCAATTTCCTGCACAAGTAGATGAATTCCAGGCACAACCTTTATTAAGGCTCTACACCCTTGCATATGTGAGCAGTACTAATAATACTTAGTGGGTTATTTTTATCTTTTTTAAATTTAAATTAGAAACAAGCTTGTTTCACATGCCAATCCCAGCTCCCTCTCCATCCTCTCCTCCCCTGCCCCCACCAGCCCACCCCAACCCCCCACCCAGTCCCCACTCTGCTCTGCAGGGAGGACGAGACCCTCCATGGGGGATCTCCAGAGTCTGTCATTTCATCCAGGGCAGGGCCTATGTCCTCCCCGATGTGTCCAGGCTGAGAGAGCATCCCTCCATGTGAAATGGGCTCCCAAAGTCCATTTGTATGCCAGGGATAAATACTGATCTATACCCAAGGCCCCATAGATTGCTGAGGCCTCCTCACTGACACCCAGATTTAGGAGTCTGGATCAGTCCCGTGCTGGCCTCTCAGCCATCATTCTGGGGTCCAAGAGCTCCCCGTTGTTCAGGTCATCTGTCTCTGTGGCTTTCACCAGCCATGTCTTAGTGGGTTATGAAAGGGAGAAGGAGGAGGAAAATTATGTGGGTGGGGAGAATAATAATGAAGTTATAAGGGAAAATGTTGGAGAGGATAATAGGAGAGTTGGAAGGAGAAAGGGGGTTTATCTGATGATATTTCACTGAATATACATCTGAACTTCCCAAAGAATAAAAAAGAAAAATGATTCTAAGCACATAGTGGGCAATTATTAAACACTATTGAAGAGATAGGTGCAGGTTTGAATAAATCAACGGCAGAAACATACTGTGAGCACGGAGCTCTGAGGAAGAAAGGAGGTGGCCACAGGTGTTGAGTGTGGCTCTGTTCTCGTTCTTTTATTGCACTTAGCTTCCTTGTATGATTGAATTTGAGTAAAATGCTCTCTTACAAGCAAATGGGAAACTTTCAGCAGTAAACATCTAAGTGTGTTGAAGTTCAAAGGTCTTTACTAATTTGGATTGTTTGACACACATGGTAGATAACTATAGACACCTGACTTTATTAATAGGGTGATTATCTCTATGCTTCCTTGGCCGACCAAGAACTTCCTCAGTCCTGTGGGTGAGCTTAAACAAACATGGTGACTAAGATACTTCCCTGTCCTTCTTCAGGTGCACTATTATTGATTGTGTGATAAAACTCTGGACAATGGAAACTCATGTCACACTGGTGGCCATAATTATGCTTCAGGGTAAAATTTCTTCTTGTTAAGAAAAGATGTGCAAAGGACAGTCTTGTTTTTCCTGCTTCTGCAGTGCTGGGTGGTGTACTCGGTGCATGAATGGGTAGAGCAGCATACTGGAGATGGCAGGAGACAATGACAAACAACTTTGTTCCTTAGTGGTGGTTGCATCACTGAGTTTACCATGCAGGCTGTTGTATCTCTGAAACTACCATTGTCTGAGGCTATAACTGTCCTAATTATTTCAGTCTGTTAGTTTTTCTTCTGTTTGTCTACAGAAGCATGTGAACTGTGATTAGAGAAATCATAAAAAATAGTAGTGAGTTAAAACATACAGGTACATATGTGGGATAATGAATTGTGGAATACAATTTCAACTTGCCTTATTATTTCCACACTTGGTTCCATTGGCCACCATGTCTATTCTTTGACTGGTGTCTTCAGGATCAAATAATTTGCATGTCAGAAAAGATATTGTAAGTCCTTTCCATGGCAGATTAGCTGACCCACCTTCACAGAACAACTTGCCACACATGACATCTCTACAAACAACAATGACAACAAAATTACAAACTTTATCCCAGGATTCAAATTTCAGTCTTGTGCAAATACAAACCAGGCTTTGCCTATTAATATTTAAAAAATAATATTTCACTTATAGCAGTGACTTCTAGTTGTACCTATGTATAATCTCCTTACTCTACAATAACATGATCCTTGTGTAGTAACAAAATGTGTTGTTTCTCAAATACAGATATATTTACAATTAATTTTTGCCAGTTGTTTAAGTTATGGCTACTGGAGGTAGGGTACAAACTTAAGTGTATACACTAGAAGATGGCCTTGAATAAGGGAACATGCCCCATTCTGAGCATTTTTTTCTCAGCTGAGATGATGCAATGTGTGTTAGTTAGTTTTTTTCAACACAGTCTGTAGCAACCTAAGAGGAGAACATCTTAATTAAGCAATTGTCCCCATCAGACTGGTTCGTGGGCATGTCTGTTTCTTGATTAATTATTGTGGCAGAAGGGTCTAGCTTCATTGTAGAGAGTGCTGTCCCTGGGAATTACTGGGATGTGTAAGAAAGCAAGGTGAGCAAGCCACAGGGAATGGAGACAGTGATTAAAGCTCCCCCATGGCCTCTGCATCAGTTCCTGTCTTCAGTTCCTCTCTTGATCTCCCTCAGTGATGGACTGCAACATGGAAGTGTAAGTCATACAAATCCTTCCTTCCAAAAGTAGCTTTTGGTCAAGAGTTTTATCACAGAAATAGAAAGCAAACTATGGATGAATTGATAGGTGGAGTAGGGGAAGTATTCACTGAGAAAAGTGGTGGGGATGGAACTAGAGGACACACAAAGGCAGATTCCTGACCTTACAAAGGTGCCTAGGTAGCCGTTAGTTTTTATGATTTTACTTCCCTCAGATAAATTGTAAAAGATAACAGCCTCAGTTTTCCACTAGTGTGATCTACACAAAGCCAGAGATCTGACATAAGAAAGCATTAAGTGTAACTCTCAGAATTCTCCCTCTGGATCTGCAGGTTAAATTGCTCAACGCTCAGGGACGCTGTTACTGACCACCAGCAAATTCAAGCGCCAAAGCCAATAAGGTCACAGTTAAGTGCTTTATGCAAAATTCAGAGGACACCTGTGGACAAGTAGTCTAGAAGTGAGAGAATGGTATTTTTCTGTTATGCTTGTGGTTAGGAAAAATATGGATGGCAAACTTAGGAAGCCACAGCTCTTCCAAAGTCTGCTGAATGGTTTTCCACAATCAGAGGACGATTTGTGACAAGCCTGTAAGGATGGTACTGGAACAAGAAATGTGGAGAGAGCTGCCCTTCATAGGCAGCTCTAAGTGACTAGACGGTGTCTGGTAGAGGATGAAATGTCTGAGCATAGTGTTACACTCCGTATCCACTGATAACACTGCTATAAAGGGTAATAGGATTCTCACAGGCTACCGGGGAGGGATGGACCAGCCCTACTACCTTCCCACTCCATGTATTACTTTGCTGGCCCTGTATATTTTCTTTTCCACAGCTGTTTCACTTTTTAATTTGCTTTGAGTTCCTATAATGAAAAGGTCACACTATACAGTTTGTCCTTTAGGCCCAGATTCCTTCAATGGATCTCTACACCCCAACTATTTTGTTAATATTAATTGTCTAGCAATATCAGTGTCCAGCAGGAAAGCTTTGAAAAATGCTCCTGCTGTTCAAACTTTGATATAAATTCTATCTACAAAATTTGGACAAGGCATCAAACATTTGATCCACTATTAAACACCTTAGGGGACAGGAGAGAGAATTATTTGTTAAGTGTAATTGTTGTTCTTTCATGAGACAAGAGATCTGTTTCCAACAGCATCCTTGTAACTTTAGCTCTAGGGAATATGATGCCCTCTTCTGGCCTCTAGGGCACCTACACACATGTGGCATATACACACCCACCTTAATATACATAACTAAAATGAATTGAAAAGTACCATATTTAAGTTGAATTTTAAAGGTCATCCTAAAGTGGCAGAATAAAAATGTATATGAAAATCTCAAGTTCATCTGATGTGATTTTTGCTATTCAGGATATCAATTCTGAAAACAAAGTGAACACTTCAGGTGAATTGTTGGCCACTTTTCTTAGTATAGTCTTTCTCATATACATGTCTTGACAAATTTAAAAACATGTACATATACATATATATATATATACATATATACACAATATGTGGATAGATAAAAATTTCTACCCAGAAATTCATAATGAAAAGTACTAGTTTGAAAAAATATCTTTTAAAATATTTTTCTGGATGTATTTATTTTATTGTGTGTGTGTTTGTGTGTGTAACTGTGTCACACACACATACATACATACATATATATATGTATATATATATATATATATGTCATTTGCATGAGGAAGAGGGCTTTGGTTTCCCTGGAACTGTAGCAACAGATAGTTGGAAGCCTCCAAGTGGGTGCTGAAATTGAACCCAGGTCTTCTATGATAGCAGCAAATGCTCTTAACTTCTGAGCTATCTCTCTAGCCCAGATGTCATTTTCTGTTGAACTACACTTAGCAAGCATATGTGGGAGGAGATGTGCCATTGTCCCAGTGGGGTTATGGGAGGAAGGTTCGAACAATCTGGCCACTTACTTCGCTTTGCAGGGTATGTGTGTGCCATTCTCTACGTGACAGTATCCATACTTTGAGCCACCTTCGTTATGCTGGTAACATGACTTATCTGCCACCTTGGTTCCTGGACCAGGTACAGATGAAAGTAACATATGTGGAGAAAAAATAGATAAGAAATGTAATACTATACAACATGAAAAAAATATTCAGTTAACATTAAAAGTACAGATTGGAAACCCCTTATCCAAAATCCTTGAGATTGGAAATGTTTTGGATTGCAATTTCTTATACATTGAGGTGTTTTAATATACACCTGGCGATAGCTACAGAATAGGACCCATCCCCAAAGTAAAATTCACTTACTGTTTAATACATACTTTAAACAAATAGATTTCAGTCATTTTACTTGTTCTTGTTCTTAGAGTGCCTGAACTTGAACCTGTTACCTGAGGGTCATAGGTAGATGTTGACATTCAAAATAATTCTGTATTTGAAGCATATAGTATTCTGATTTTTGAGATCAGGGATATATGTTTGTGCTATTTTTTGGCATACTTCTATTGAAAATTTGAACACACACAAGCCTCAATAATTTAATATTAGAGGAGTTAGGTGAAATTTGAAAAAAAACTTTCAAATAATGTGTTAAAATTGTTACTTAGGTATTTGAAAATATCTATACGAGTTGCTGAGGGTTAAAAATTTCATCCAAATAAAAGACTTAGCCAGAGAGTTGCTGTTATTACATCATTATGTTAGAGATCCACAAGCATTAATAATAAGATATAAAATGCAACCTCAACGACTAGCAGTTATGCTTAACCAAATGCTTCCTGTGAGCCAAGTACAGTGCTAAGAATCACACTTTCCATTTCCCTTTTAATCAGCCTCAGACAGCATCGGATGGGCACAAAGCTCAGCAGTTAAGAACTCAGTCTTTAAGCACAACTTAGGAACTACTTGAACTACTTTGAACTTAACTACTGAACTTGCTTATCTGTAAAATGAGGGTGTGTGATGTGTTCCATAACTCATAGGTTTAGTAAGATAATTGGGTTAATATGTGTAAGCCACTGAGAACAGGGCTTGTTCAGTAATATGTGGGTGATAAATACTAGCTATTCTTACTGCTGTCCTCAGGTTATCAATAAGGAACTGGAGACTCAGTGCAAGTCACACAGGAAGATAAGAAGCCAGCTTCACCCACCTTTTCCCAAACCACAGCCTCAGGCCCTAACTCTAAGTTGCCCCACTGCATGATGAACAACTCTTAAACTCTGGCAGGCTGGATATAAACCTCTGTACGATAATTAGTAAAAGTAAAACAAGAAAAAGTTTATGAAGGGTGTGTTCTGTCTTCAAGAAAATACATGATGATGATTTATAAACTTGAAGCATTTTTAATGAATATTATGTTTTACTATTCAAGATGATAAAAACCTTTATGACTAAATTTCTTAGATTATTTGGATCTTAGTAACATATTAATTCCTTATTATAACAATATAGTTACATTCTGGGAACAAATAAATAATTTCTTCTTCAAAGGAAGTGTCATAATCAATATCTCTGACTTCCGAGTAACAGATTTTAACATTTTTAAAGTACTATTCATGTACTCACTATTAGGACATTTGTAAGTACCTTTCCCCAACCAGTTACATCTCTGTGCTTTCCCTAGACTTTAAACATTCTACAATATGAGAGAAACACAGGACTGGAGAGATGACTCAGTGGTTAAGAGCACTGGCTCCTCTTCCAGAGGTCCTGAATTCAATTCCCAGCACAACACAGCTCACAAACATCTATAGTGGAATCTGATGCCTTCTTCTAGCATAAGGTTGCACATGCAGATAGAGCATTCATATACATAAAATAAATAGGATAAATCTTAAACAGAAGAACCATTGTCTGATACATCTTTATTCTTAAATTTTAAATTACTCTTCAATTATCATTACCCTAATAAACGATGTTGGAAGAAAAATTTTATTGATAAATATTTCAGAGTTCAGCTGCTAGGGCAAAGGAGGGTAAAGCAGTGCCTTTGGTTGTGTGTGTAATTTTCCAAATCTTCGTCTTTGTAAACATTTCACTAATCTACATTTTGCCAGTAGTGTGATGTAGTAAGTGAACAATCTTTCCTAACACCTGTAGCCAGTCTTTGCTGGCTCATAAATGCAGAAGGTTAAAGGTTAACCTACTTTCATTAATACTCTCTACAGAGCTATGTAGTGAAGATAGTTTTAGTCTATTGGTTGAGCATTTCCATTTCCTTACTAAAACGAAGTACCTCCTTATAGCATAATCACATTTTCAGTATTTTGAATTTCAGTTTACAAGAATATCTTGAGGCTAAAAGTGTAATTTTATTATGAATGTATATACATTTTTTCAGATTAATTTAAAATAAATATGACCTTATATACATCATAAAACTTGGAATTTGAAGTCGAATCTGTTTTTCTAGTATTTTATGGTGGCCACCTTTGAATGAACAATTTAATGGTCTACTCCATCTAATACCTGATAAATAGGTTCAGTATAATTCAAGAGAAAATTTTGACAACAACGAAAGTCAGGAACTTAAAAAACAACAACTCTGGAGAACATATACTGAGTCCCTGAATGGTGAGGTAACAAGACTTGGGATGGAGTCAGACAAAGGGGTCAGAAGTTATTATTCAACATAATTACACTCATTTATCACTAGGTAATAAAGAGGACATGTTGAACTTCACTTATGCATGTAGAGTTTTCTTTCCTTGGGTTTCTGTCCTCTGAGGAAGGATACCTGAGAGCAACTAGCAGAACCAATTTTGTTGTTACCTTTAGCTTAGAATAGCAGCTCCTAGGAAGTGTAAGCAGAGTTGCTGAGGAGAGTCTCCAGCACATGTGGGCACATCTCAGTGGCTTAAACACATTGCGCCTTGGACTGTGTCTTAGTCTATCTTTGCTGGGTAGAGAGGGGCTTATCTAGGATTATTTAGAAGATCTTGATGTGTCTTGATTTTCTGGGTATTTTGTAGATGACAGTTTTTATTTCTATCACAGTTTTGATTGAAGTTTGTTTTCAGAAATTATGAGAAGTCTATAGCATGCGATGATACTACTGAAATACTATTAGGAATATGTAGCTTCATCTCTTTTTGAATAAATATTCCCTGTGTCATTTAAGTAGGAAGCTGGAAGAATGCAGGCTATGAAAACTTAATACATGGCAGCATACACATGCCATGCCATCCAGGAAAGACAAGTAATTGTTTTCTATTTAAATGCTGATTTTCTTTCATTTTGTAGAATTTGTAAGCTTTGACCAGTAGCTCCCTGTTTCCTCTGTATATCCCCACAAGTACTGTGTTATTTACTTCCAGGAGTTCAACATCTGTATAGACTTCACATAGAAGCAAGCACACTTGTACACTATAATTAGAAAGATGAGTTTCTAATTAACCTCTTATATCCAGTTTAAATTTGGGCTTAATGTTTCCAACTATCTTCAGATCTTCAGATCACATTTTATTTTAAATCCTGTGTTATGGTTTCTTTAGAGTGGTCACTAACTTCAAGTGAACAAAAATGGTCATTGAAATATTCTCATGTTTCCTCACTGCTGTTCTGCATTCCATGGGTCTTTATTTGCTTGTTTCCCACTTGAGCTCGTGACCTATCCACCAACCCTACTGTCACTCCTGTGTACACAGATTAATTTGAATTTGAGATTAAAAAGTGACGTTTGCTAAGTTTGTCTCAAACACTGTATGGTCAGACAGATATTAACACAATAAAAATGTCAATATAAAAGTAAAATTTCACTTGAACACCCTTTTTATTTGCTACCTTTAAACTCTTGGTCTTAAAAAATGCCCCCATCCAGTTTGATTCCTCCACTTTCCTGTGTCTGAAGTGTGTGGTGTCTTACCTTCAAGTTCTGAGAGACAACCAAGGTAGGACAAAGTATGCAATAATATTTAAGGGGGGGAGGTCTATGGGACACCCCTGAGTCACAGTTCTGAGTGCATTTTGCATTGCCTGTCAGTAAGTAGGGTATTTGTTGGATAGTCTATGGTTCCTGGGGGCAAGTATTATCACTCATTGTCACACACACACACACACTTTTAAGTTACATTATATAACATGTGTCTCTATGATCTAGAACCCTATTCTCAGAAGTATGAGATGATGCTTTGCAAGCTTCTAAGGGAGACTAGTTTTAAACAGCTATTGTGCATTTGACCACAACAGTGACCAACCCAACAGGATTTCTCCAATGGTGCAATAGTGGCACTTTTATCTTGGAGATATCCAATAGCTATCTAATTAGACTTAAGAGCTAGTTCAATATGAGGGAAGTCATGCTTGGCACTACCAGTGATCCATGGTTTGAGAGGTCATAGACACTATTATACTATTTTAAATCATTTAAATAAATTAAATTTTATTGTTTTCTAAATCAATACAGCTCCTAAATTTATTTTAAACATTTATCCTTATATGCATAAACAACTATAGCTCTCACCCCCATATCAATGAAGCTTTTTTAATTTAATTAAATTTTGCAGCAGGAAGAGGCTATCACAGAGATCTAAACATGATCAAAATACAGAGAATATATAACTATGGGGACCCTATCACTAGCTATCACATCTACAACACAACCCCTAAACCTCAGGCTCTGGGTACAATATAGAAAAGAAAGCAGAAAAACTGTAAGATCCAGAGGACCAAGATGCCTGCTGCAAGATAGTGTCTACTAGATATGACCCCATGAAAGCTCAATAATGTCATTGCCTAAACAAGACCTGCATAATGACCACACCATTCAACACACAAAAGGGAGAGGAAAACCCACAAGACCTCACGCAGATGAAAATTTTCAGAAACCAGTGGCTATGGAGAGAGGGAAAATCATTTTTTCACCTATGAGCACCCTATATACAATTCCAAGTTGTCAGCTCTAAACACATGTATGTATGAGCAACACTAAATGGAGTCAGTAATGTGTGTGTGTTTATGTGTGTGTGTGTGTGTTAGAAATAATAATTGTAGAAGAAAGAAGTCATGAGTCTGAGAACAAGTTTGGGGGGAAGGAGTTAAAGGAAGGGGTGGAATTGTTGTAAATACAGTACACTCATGTGTGAAACTCTCCAATTAAATTTAAAATATACTTATTTGTGATTTTGAGAAGTGTCATCATTTCTAGGAAGAATGGGATAGCTTGGTCCTTTGGCCAGGGCCAAACAGCATCACTGGAATTATGTAGACACAGAGAGAATTTTGCTCCTGTGACACTAATCTTCATTGCCAATTTGATGTGTGTTAGATTCACCACGAAAACACATTTCTTCTGGGTGTGTCTGTAAGACTGCTTCCAGAAATGCTTAACTAAGGAGGGAAAGCCTGACTTGGGTGACATCATGCCATGAGCAGCAGTCCTAGACTTATGCAGGAAAAACTGAATGGTGCACAGACATTCATCTTCTGCTTCCCAACTGAGGATACAGTATACTGTATACAGTATACACTATACAGCAACTGTTTCAAACTCCTGCAGCCTGGACTTTTCCTGGAACTAAGAGACAAAATCAACCCTCCTTTCCTTAAGTGTATTTCTTTAGGTATTTTGTATCAGTAGCAAGAAAAGTAACTAATACAGGGTCTTACCTGGGCCCCACATCTCCATGCACTGCTGCTGCAGGGTGGGACATTTGCCCTTCAAGCAATAGCCATGTCCACTTTGGCAAGGGAAGCCATTGACTCTAAATCTGTCAACTGGACAGTGACTGGATTTACCATCACACATTTCAGGCAGATCACACTCATCTTTTGCTGTTCTGCACACAAACCCAGCCTTTTTAAGCTGAAAGAAAAGAAAGGCAAAGAAATATGTGTCTCCTTGACCCTTGCCCTGATACCTCAGAGTGACACAGACAACCCATTTGTTCTTCAGGGCAATGGCATAATTCTAGTGTAATTTATCTGTGCCATGTTACTAGTGTTTATATTGGCCAATACTTTGACTCTTTTAAGCAATTAATATTTTGAATTTGCAATACAAACACTAAAGAAACACTAAAGTAAAATAAGAGGCACACACTAGGCAGTGTCTCAGATGGAGAGCAGAGAGTTATGTCTCTCATTTTGTTGAATGCTTCTTTGTCATGATTTATAAGATTTAAACCTGCAACTTCGGGATTTACTAGTTAAGTGAACCTTCTCCTGGAAAAGGAGACAGCTTTGCAAGTGCCAGGTCTGCATATTTCAAGACTTTCCCAGGCATCGAGTTTCCTTGGTTCTTTTCATTGCAGATTCAGGTATTTCTTGTCAACTCTTGTTATGGAATGTTGCATTGTGAAGAAAGAAATTACCAAATATGTTCATGCTATATGAACTCTGCTGCAATAGTACTGTAAATTTTGCCCTTATTTCCTTGGAGAAAACTTGATTTAAAACAATTCCTCTGCCACTTCAGCAAATCAGAGGAGGCTCCTCCTTTGCCAGTTGTTGGAGTAAGTACAGACCATCACATGCAGGAAACAATTTCCACTATTTTAATACCAGGTCCAGAACCAGACTAAAACTGCAGCTGAAGTTTACCAATCCTCCAAATATGAGTCCCACGGCTCCAACCAACCTGCTCTCTTATACCAAACCATGCCAAGTCCCTTCTTTGTTCCCTCTCTGATCATTTAGATAGTCTTTCTTTTGAGGTCTACATCTAACTCTAAAATCATTTCATTTGTGTTTACTGGTCTTCAGAAATACCGATTTCACATGAAGCATCCTCTGACCTCTCCAATACAGATTTCTGCTCTTTTCTTTCTCCATGTAGTGAAGATGAGCCCTTGTTGAATTTAGATTGAAATACTGTGGTTTTGAATTTGGGTCCTGATCTAAGGTATAAGAAGCCCCATTCAATTCAAAATACTTTTCTAACAGTTCCATCAGTACAGGCAGGTTCAATCACTTCATATGATACAGTCTAGCAAAGCCCTACAGTGTGAAAAGAAACAGAATGGGAAACTCCCCATGGCCTTGGAGCTGGTCATGTTTGCCCATGTTGGTTTTCCTACTAAATAGTGACCATGTTATTTTTTTTATTTCTCAAAAATTATACTGTATGTACTTAAGATAAACAATGTGGCATTTTGGTGTGTGTGTGTGTGCATGTATGTATGTATGTATGTATGTATGTAAAATCCATGTATACCAGGCGGGCCCTGAACTCTTCATGTAGTCAATGATAATTTTGAACTTCGAATCCTGCTACCTCTACTTCCAGAATGCTGAGATTGAACGCATGAACCACTCCATACCTGGTTCGTGCTGGATTGGGGATTGAACCCGGGGCTTCATGAACTCTAGGCAGGCAGGCACTCTGCCAGCTGAATCACATGTCCAGCCCTACAGTCAACATTTTTAGAGTTGCATTTATAAGAGATCACACAGCCTCTGTCCCTCTGAGTCTTTCTCTCAGTTGATATAATGCCCTCATGTATTACCCTGGATATCCCAAGTAGGAGATATACTATTTTGGACATTTTCTTCTCTAAAACTTCTTTCACTCAAAAGAAAAATGAGATATCTTCTTTGCATTTTTGGGAGACTGGTTGAATTTGAAAAGTAGCCAAAGAGTGATTGAGTCATTATTTACTAGGAAGAAAATTACTGCTCTGCCTGGTTAACATAACATAATCATTGAAGCATTAATATAAAAATAATCATAATTATAAAAAATGGAACAAATGACTCTTACTTGGCATTTATCGCAGCATTCTCCCAGAGCACACTGGAAACCTGCTTTGATTTTACAGGTCTTGGCATCACAGCATTTGTTGGTACATTCCTAGAAAGCATCAGCCACAGATGAAAGTAGTATATCATTTTAATACAATTCATAATATAGTTTATTTGCTGCATATACACATTGCTGGGTATCATTTAAATTTTTTCCTTTAGTAAAATAAAAGTAAACAGAGACTTAAGATTCTAAGAAGCTGGTGGCTTGCATTTATCTGATTTTTCCTTACTTATGTTTTAATGGACATATACTTTCTATCCTTTTGAACAAATATGTTTCCCACAAGTCATTCATATGAGTATTCATAGTTCTATTTTTCTTGATAAAATATGAAGGAAAACAAAGGGAAAGGATGGTTTTTAGACTAATACAATGTAATTAATCCTGCTCATTAGTTATGCTTCTATCTTGTCTTCAATTTAATTCCATCTTCATTGTAACTACTGAACATTATTAAATTAGTCTTCAACATAAATATTCTGACCATTAATTTATTTCTAGCACATATCTCAGAATAACTACTAATGTGGATCAACACATTTGCAAGTGACATTATATTTGCAATGTCAAATGGTTGCACACCCATACAAGCAATATAATTTCTTTTGATCTTAGTTTTTTGTTTCTGAGAGAGTCAAATCTGCTCACTACAGGGGCTGGAGCACCTAGAACCTCTGGCAATTTCCATTGTAGCTGTCAAGATTCATATTGAAAAAATGAGACTTCAAGAGTTACAATACTTTTATAGTTAAAACTACTTCCCTGAATTGAAGAAAAAACATCATCAGAGGAAGATCATTCTTGCAGATAGAGCAAATAAACCTTTAATCTTATTCTGAAGTCATTGCTATGCCAGTCTCCAGAGGGAATCAGGTATCACTCCTGTTAAGTGCTAATAAATGGGGGTAGGGAAGAACCATATTTAGAATTTTGGCTAGCCTGTGACTGGCATAAGATCATGATGGGAATCTGATTGTGATGACAACAATTTCTGAGTCTTGATAGATGTGATACGTGATGCTGCAATCCATTCTGAAACTGGGTGTGAATGTTAATAAACAAGACCTGGGTCTAGATTTTGAATCTTGCTCTGGCCAGTTGTGAGTTTGGGGAAGCAAATTATTTATAGTGCCACACCTAAGGGGTTTCTCACTAATCCATAGTTGCTTGAGCTACCCGAAAAATTTCAACCAGAAGACATTGGTGAGAGGTGTTACAAAGTCAGGATATAGTGAGGAAGATAAAGATATATTAAGATCTGCATACTCCTTGGAAGACTAGCCTTAAAAATACCTAACTATCCAAAGTCCCAAAAAACATTGAATAGTTTTATGGTGGGTCACATAATCTTGTATAAATGAACTAGGTTGTTTTAGAAAGGGCTAGAAGTACCTCTGGGGTGCCACAGTCACAGTCCTCGTTCAGTTCTACTAACTGGTTCCCACAGACTGGGGTGGATATGATAGCTGAGGGCAATGGGGTATTATAGAGGCAACGCGATAATTTGTCTTCAAGAAACTTGCCATAGTTGACACGGCTGCAGGAGCTAAAGTCTGTGGGCATATGGAACCTATATAGATAAAGAAAGGGAAGAGGCTTTAAATGTGGGAAGTAATGGTTGACATCAACTACAGTGGCATTTACAAATTACCGCAGAGATCAAATCCAATGCACTGGCTAAGTACTTAGTCATAGTTATGAGAATATCTTCATTTCTAAATTCACCCACTCATGTGGACATAATATCTCAGTTTAGTGGGTAAACATGACCTCTCTCAAAGTGTAGCATGTTGACTACTTTTAATCAAAACAAAAATGCTTCTTGGACAGCTCGTGTCACCTCTCTTCCCTAGATCATATTTTACGTATATCTTACTCACTTGGATAAGTATCAACTGACATTCTTTTTGTCTTATAAATGAAGGAGAAAATAAATGTGTATGTAAATGGAGAAAGAGAAAGTGAAATCCTTCAAGATAAGATTGCTCGGAAATTTTTTCCCAGCAAGTCAGGAATATAAATGCCTTTTCAAATATTTTACTGTGAAAAGTTCCTTTTCCCCTTTTATTGAAAATAGATTTTTTTCTTACATAACATATCCTGATTATGGTTTGGTTTGCCCTTTCTCCTCTCGGTTCTGCCCCCATCTCTCCTTCCATCCAGATTCACTCCCTTCCTGTTTCTCATCTTATAAATGAAGGTGAGGCTTAAACATGCAATGACATCTGGAAGAAATGACACTATCTTTGAAGCTGGAGGAAAACCAGGTCCATTGTGGGTATGGATAATGAAAAATAACCTAACAAATAGCATTGGCAGAATGGTAAGAACAGATAATACTAAAATATAACTAAATAAAATATAATACAAAAAGCAAAAGCTATCATATCAAAGTTGAACAAGAAAAACCAACAGAAGCAAAAGAGCCCGAGAGAAGGCTCAAGAATCAAAGACCCACTTATTTGCATGCAAAAACACTCAACTGGAAGGCACAATATATATGCAGAGGACCTTGTGCAGGCCCTGGAAAAGCTGCCTTAGTCTCTGTGAGTTCACAGGAGCTTGCTCACGTTGACGGACAGTGTCTTGTTTTCTTGGTGCTCTCCATCCCCTCTTGCTCTGACTCTTTCTGCCCCATCTAGTGAAGGGTTTCCTGGGTTCTGAGAGGAGAAATTGAATGGAGGAGACACCCCACTTAAGGCTGAATGTTCCAAGGTTTCTCACTCTCTGTTTAATGTTTGCCTGTGTTCCCAACTGCTGCAAAAAGCTGCTCTGATGATGACAGATCATATTTGTTTTCCTCACTCAGCATGAACTTTTCATAGTTCCATCCATTTTCATGCAAGTATCATGATGTCATTTTTTAACAGCTGAGAAATACTTCATTATGAAAATGTACCACACTGTATTTATTCTTCTGTTGAGGGACATCATGAGATTTTTCTTCAAAATCTCTTTCTCTGTGATCATCACTCTGAGTTTATGGAAAATATGACAAATATTTTACAATTTTGGACAAAAATTTTACAAAAATTTGGCAAAAGTAATTCTTTTGTGACACATACCATGTTGATAGCATGAGCATAAAATAATGAGCTGCCCCAACCCCAAAGAGAGAATTATTTCTAGTATGACAAGTTTTTTAAAATTATGTATAGGGGCTGAAGAGATGGCTCAGCAGATAAGCACTGGCTGATCCTCCAAAGGACACTGGTTTGATTGCACCTACATGGCAGCTCACAACTGTCTGTAACTCCAGTCTTAGTGTATATTATGTCCTCTTGTGGCCTCCAAGGGTACCATACACAAGTGGTGCACAGATAACACATGCAGGCAAAACAACCTTCCATATGTAAATAAATAATTTAAAAAATACATACAGGTGCAGGTAAGCTGGTATGGCACAGTTTCACCAGTGAAAGATTCAAATATAAAATTACTTATTAATTAAATGAAATGAATGAATTTTAATATAGTGATATTAATATAGTGATATTTGGTAGTCAATATGACTTAGCTTTATGATTTAGTTACCTGCTGTTGCCTGTCCAGAATTCATGTAGAAGTGTCACCAAGGCTGAGTGCACTGTGTCTGAGTACCGAGCTGAGAGGCTCCGTGAGCTGTATTTGTTACTCCAGAACCACAGCCAGTACTTTAGGGGGTCACACTGTTCAATGGTGGTTCCTGCAAACTTGGCTGATTCCTTGCTTTCTGATTATTCTCCCATACAAACATCTATCCCTGTGACATTTTCCTTTGTTTATTATGGTGCTCTATATAAAATGTAAACTTCCTGATATTATTAAAATGCTTCTAATTCTAAGACATAAATTATTTAACAAGTTGTTGACTATAACCTTGAGGCTACCACCAACCACAGTCCATCAAAACCAGGAAAACACAGTATGTCCCCAACACCCTCACCTTAGTGACTGCTCCATTACACAGACTTCAGATGGGCACTTGCAACTCAAGTAATCATGGATCATGCCAAGGTTGTGGCCCATTTCATGGGCCATTGTCCCTGCAACTCGAAGATGGTAGCTACTGTGGTCCTAGGATAATAACAGGGAAAATGACATGTACTTCTCGAGGTGACATATTCTTGAAAATCTCTCTGTGTCTCAGTGATGTGAGATGCCATTCTAGAAATATGTCTCTCTTATTGGTTGATGAATAAAACACTGTTGGCCAAGAGGGAAGCAAGATAAGCAGGACTAGGTAAGAAGGAGGATTCTGGGAAATGTAGCAGAAAATCACCATGTGATCCCAAGAGGAGAGGAAGCATGAATCCAGCGCTCTTGGTAAGATAAGACCGTGTAAAAATGTATAGATTAGTAGTTATGGGTTAATAATTAAGTCAGAACTAGCCAATAAGAAACCAGAGCCAAAGGCCAACAGCTTTATAATTAATATAATGTCTTTTGTGTTATTTGGGGACTAAAGTGACAATGGGACCCAGGCGGGAATCCCGCAACATCTCTGTCTTTGTCTCTCCCCCTCCATACACACACACACACACACACACACACACACACAAATACCAACAAGACACAAGTAAGTGTCATTCAAACAGTAATCCCAAAAGGTTGGTATAACCATTTCAACATTAGATAAAGCAGACACCAGAATAATCAGTACTTTGGGGATGAACATTTATGATGACTGTTAGATGATAAAAGGTCAGCTGTTCTGGGAGATGATGACTATACTTATGTAAACACCTAACAACAGACCTTCAAAACCTGTGAAGCAAAAACATGCAGTTGAAAAATAAAAATAATCAAACTAGCAACTATGTTTACATATTTCAATACCTACTTTTAAGACTGAACAGACCCAAACAACACTAAAATAACAATTATAGAACACTAACAGAAGACACTTTTGTGTCAGTTTATATGGAGCCATTAAATACAGACAAATATCAAAAGTCAAAATTCTATAGAGTGCACTCCAGTATATAATAATAACGAATTTCACATAACACTTACAAGTAATACATGTGTTAAGTCTAAAAAGAAAATTTTTGAAGTATTTACACTGAAGAAAACACCTACTCAATGTATTCATGCAGCTAAAACAATACATAGAAAGGCACTGATTTCATTAAAAAAAGAACAAATTAAATGCAATGTAAATAAAAGAAAGAGAATTATTAAGATAAAACCAGAAATCAATGAAGCTTAGAGGTAAAACCATTGAAAGCATCAATGACATTTAGAAATATCAAAGAAATTGATAAACATCTATTGAAACTGGCCACAACAAAAAAGAAAAGGCACATATGATCAATATAATAAATAAGAAATGGAATGAACTTGTAAGTTGGTGCCATATAGAAAAGATTGTGGGGCTAGAGAGATGGCTCAGTGGTTAAGAGCACTGGCTGCTCTTCCAGAGGTTCTGAGTTCAATTCCCAGCAACCACATTATGGCTTACAACCATCCATAATGAGATCTGCTGTTCTTTTCTGGCCTGCAAGCATACATGCAGACAGGACACTATACATAATAATAAAAGATATTGTAAGGGATATAATCAATCCATTTTTGCCCTTGAATGTGACCAAATTTACTCTAACAACAAAACCTCTACAAATCACATTATATGAAAATAAAATTGTAGGCTGATACCACCTTTCAGTCTAGAGGCAGAGACCCTAAAGATGTGTTAGTATTGTGAATTAAGACAACATTTTATGAGAACTTCAGATTCATCCGAGAATGCAAGATTAGGTCAACATTTGTCATTCAGTCACTGTATTTACCAAGAAACAGATAGTAGGACAGCCCTATCTTCTCCATAGACAGGGTAGGAAAATTGGGGAGATGCATAGAAACAGCATTTGATTTTTCAAACAGACCTGAATGATGCCAACAGAATGATAAGGAGAACACATTGAAGACATGAAAGCTAGGCCCACTGTTGATCCAGAAAAGTCTGTTGAGCTATAAAGAAGAAAAGGATGGATAAAAATGCAGAAACTGTCTTTTTTTAATGAACAATTCATCTAGAACTTTAAACAAGTACTAGAGAAATTCAAATTGCCACCTGTTACTTAAATATTTTCTTGGGTTTTTGAAATCATAAAAAGGACTTTTTCTAATATTGTCTTTCACAGAACTTGAAATTCAATTATTTGTATATAATAAACATCAAATGTTTACCTTGTGTTAATTACTATTATAATTTTATAAAGAGATATATCCAACAAGGACCCATTTGAGCATTTTTAAAGCCTTTTAATTCCCCTGTGTGTATTTCCTTACATCTTACACATACCCCAAGATATCATTTTCATTGCTGAGGCTCTGGAAATAGAGTCTGTGCTTCGTGCCATAGAAAGTGCAGAGAGCAAACTATACATACGATATCAACTGGGCAATATCATGATGCTTCCGTTTTAGCAGGTCATTCCCTCTCCACTTAGAGAAGTTATTCAAGGTGGTGTTGGCATCTGGGGTTATCTTTATTTTATCTTCATCGGTCCAGATTTCTATTCCAATTAAGGCCACATGGGTATCAAGCTTTTTGTAAAGCTGTTCAGAGAGAATACATTACAAAGTAGTAGGTTACACTAGCTAAATTATATTTTAATATTTCCACTGCATTTTATGTTTCAAAAGAAATCCTGTGTGTCATCTCTTTTACCACTATGAGCATTGCTGTATTTTTCCAGATAAAATGTTCATCTGAAAATTACATTTAAGTAACATCTTGAGGTTCGTTTTCAAGATTGATATAATTTTGGAAACAAAAATACCAGAGATTATGGGTCCATTTTGTTTCTTATTTTCTTTAATTCCCTGGAATAATTTTCTATTGGGATTTGGTTATCAGCATTTTCTTAAGTGGACTCTGGGTAACAAAATCCTTCCAAATAAAGCTTGTTAGCTTTTGGTCCTAAGAACAGGATGGTATTAATATGCCAGTGGCCATGTCAGAGGAGATGAAGTCGTTAATGGGCATATGGGATACAGCCCAGTGGATGGCAAAGCTACGCTGCGTCCATCCTGGAGAGAGAAAGCCCCGTGAGCATTGTTTATGCAATGCCCTCTGCTTTGTTGTGTGCTTCCTTCTGTGTGCTACTGCTGGGGTTCTGTTGTATCTACAAGGTGTGATTACTGTGTGAAATGATCCAACCGTATGAAGCACAGTGTGATTATTTCTTAGGAAAATCCCACTCCTCACTAGGCAATGTACTTGCAGATCACAATGAAGATGATTTTTATCAGAACAATGATGATTAGTTGGTTCCATGATTTAATTGGAATCTCTGAGTTAGTCCAAAAGATACAGGTAGATAAGACATTAAAGATGATTTTAGAAATGGCTTAGGTTATTCTGCCAATTGCTCCAATAAGAGATACAAAAATGGAAAAAAATAGGCTAGAACTCACCTTCCCCTTTGTTAGATATGAGATTGGCAGAAGATGGAAAATAAGAACAAGGAAGTCTCATGCATTATAGACCCATGAATTCTGCCTGTGGAAAAATAGGCTGATGATAAAACAATGCAGTCCTGTCTGTAAGCCCAAGGCAGGGCCTGACTTCCTTGGTCATGTAACTTATAGAATTAACCACAGGCATCAGGATGCACCTTGAAAAAACAAAGTTGTGAAAGGAATTTAAATGACCCTATTGTGTGTGAAGAAAGCAGATGGCCAGCTGACCCCTCCTGTAAAGATTCTCTAGAGTAGAGTTGAGGATAGAAATCTGCTATGCTGAAACTGCAAACAGCTGCCTGCTGGAACAAAAGGAACTGGCTGAAATGTACTTGGTATGCTTAAAAATTCTTAATCACTAATAAAATAATCATTGCTTTGGGATGAAGATGTGATGGTGGAAAAATCAATACAAACATGTTTAACTACTTGCGGGTTTCTAAGGAAAACATGTAAGTTGTGATTTTAATTTGTTTTTGGAAAATAAGTAACTTGTTGTGGGGTAATCTTTTCTTGCACAGCAATCTTTGTCTCAGGTGGTATGAAAGGGATAAGGAAAAAATAAGAACAGAACAAGCTACGGAAAGAAAAATATAATAATTCTTCAATCAAGCTTTGCCCCTCAGAAAAGTCCCATGTGTGTGTATTCAGTTGCACCAATGCTGTACCTCCCCTCTGGCCTCTCTGGCCTGCTGGAAGCTGGCCTTCCAGCAGCATTGAGATCTCTTGAAATAGCGCCAAGTGTTGTCATTCTCGGAGCCCCTTTAGCCTTATTAGCTCAGGAGACTTGGCTTCCATCCCTGAATCCATGTTTATTCATAGAACCACTCAAGGGCATATCTTAACAAAGTGTTTAAAGTTACATTTAATGAAATATATCATACCATGTTGACGTAATTGGCCATCTCAAACACTCTTTTTCTTATTTCAGCAAGATTTTTATTGTACTTCTTAAACTAAAAGGCAATGAAAAGACAGAAATAGGGGCTGATAGAAATTAATATAATTCGAAGATTTTTTCAAAAGACAATTCAACTTATTTCACAGTGATTATAATTAACAGCTATTAACATTTAAAAGATAAAACAAATCAACTCATTTTAATGAAAATTAAGACATTTGGGAAATAGTGTTATGTTCTCTCCCTTGAAATAGCCAGAGAGCATACAGCTCTTAGAAATTTACCCATGCATGGTGGAACATCCATAATCTCAACAGTGGAAGACCGAGGTAAGAAGACCATGTGTAAGTGAAGGACTTTGGCCACATACCAAGACACCATCTCAACAAAAAACCATGGCACAATAGAGTGAATGATTTATTCTAAATGTTTTTTAAGTTTCATGATTTCCTTATTGTGCAGAATGAGTGCAAAGTACAGCTTATCATCTTTTAAATTTATGAATAGTAGATGTATCCAATATGGTGAGATCAGAGATTAGGGGTCTGGGCTAACTACTAATTTCTTGATAGTTTTGATATCCAAGATTTTTGTTTTTGGCAATAAACACACAAAGCACTTATTTAGAAACTCACAATCAGAAAATTTGCTCTTAGAAAATAAATTAAATGGTATCTATAACCAAAGGTTGACTTTCTTCAAAAAGCCCATCCCCTGGGCTTTTGTATTTATGACTGCTCCCTCCAGAATATACATCATACATGACAAATTAACTACTTTACCAATGACAACATGATGAAGGTGTGTAAATGGAAACTAAATTTGAATCTCTAAAGACAATAAGAGGTTTATAGGGACAACAATGAGATTTATGAATATTTGTCAGTTGATTATTTCTGAGAAGAAATTCCTGTCAATTTCATTACAAATATCAATTTAATAGACAGAATAATTTCTCTGTATGGTTCATATTCTTGATTTCTAAATGGTTCTAGACATTTTCTATTTCACACAATAAATTATGTACAAGAGAATTTTGTGAGATGCATTTATCTGATGTAATTACCTCACCGTTATCCAGGACCAAATAATATTCAATGTATTTCTTAGGTTCTTGAACCATCCCATTATTCAACTTCTGAAATAAAAGAAAAACAAGGGCTAAGATAATATCTTTCTCTGTTGATCTTTTGTTTAGCATGTCATCTTAGAAGAGGTTAGATTGTATCTGACAATCAAGATAGACAATATTACTGTTTTAACTCTACCATACCACTGAGGCATGCGAGTGGATAAAGCTCAGAAATGCTTGTCTTTTATGTTTCCATCATCAGAAACAAATTACTAAAGGTAGACTCAAACATATTATCTGGTGAGATGTATATTTATCTCCCATTTTCCATAGGAACAGAATATTCACTAACGGTTTCTATGCAGCCACAGCACTCTGGGGACTGATATAGATAAGTCTACTTGGTCCATCAGCTAGTAACTCACAACACACACACACTCACACACACACACACACACACACACACACACAAGTATAATTAATGCTATGGGGTAGATTCTATGAGTGATTTAAGCTGGGTAATTGGATAATTATTTCAAGACAGAGAGCTAGAAGATGCCTTTTTAAAAGACTTGGACTATTTGGCATACTCATCAAAACAGGAACTCAAGAAATTAAAACAATTGGAATGTAATCCAGAAAAAAAAAGTAAAAGGCCAAACTCTATAGTTAATTGACAGTGATGTTTTTTAAACAACAGAAAAAAGAAATGCTACTATTTGTCAGAATACATGGAATGGAGAATTCATGGGAAGGGGAACATACAAATTAGTGGGTACTAGACAATCAAACAGACATCTGTAACTCATAGCAGTGGTTTGAAATTTATGCCGAATGTGATGACTAGAGAGTCATTCAAGGGTTTTAACATGATTCGGTGTATAATGAAACATCACTGAACCTAGGCCAGTGAGAGCAGACTTTGCTAAGGTAGTAAGAGACATAGAAAGGACAGATACAAGTTTCTGTCATGGTGACCTTGGGAACTATCTAAGAGTCCAGTGAAGAAATAAGTGAAGAGATAAGAAGACATGGATACTATGTGAGAAAAGCAAAGAGAAATCAGCAGTGATTCCCAGATATGGGTAACAACAAATAATGAACAGTGATAGTGTTTAATTGGGGTGGAGAAAATGAGAAAGAAATATACTGTTTTTGGAACATAAAAATGAGCAGTAGTTCTATTCTACGTATTAGTATCATATCAGATATTTAAATGGCTACAAAACTGGATATACATTTTAATAACAGTCATTACCTAGATCATAAAAAAGCAGGAACTTATGCAGCCTATGGTAGCTGTGCCTTGGTTACATAGGAGCTTCCTGCCTCCACCTCCCAAGTTCTGAGATTACAGGGTATTCCGTTGCATCTGGTTTATGAAGTGATTAGCTTGGACCCTAGGGCTTATGCTAGGAAGCATTCTAACTGAGCTACACCTTAGTCATGCAGAGCCCTTTGAAGGAAGGAAGGTATAGGACAATATGAGATTGCCCAGGAAGGATTCACTGACAATACAAAAGGCAGGAGCCAAGGGCTTCTGATATCAACTGACCAACCAGAAGAAGGGTGACATAAAGGTACCCCAAAAGCCAACCCAACAGCAGGTTAGGAAAGCCTGGCCATTTCTACATGGGCCCCAAAGAATTGAGATAGAACAGTAGAGACTGCTGCCAGTCAGAACCAGAATGAGAGGAGAGAAACGTGTAGCCAGGAACATGATTTCTTCTGTGTTCCTAAATAAAGCTGGTGAAATTTCAGTCCATGGCAAAAAGAACAACCTTGATTTTACTTAGAAGCAATCTTCCTGGGCCTCACAGATTCTGGGAACACTTGGAAGATATCATCAAGCAATGAAAGTATAAGGGACAGGAACATTTTAGTGCACACCACACAGCTGGACACAGCTGGGTTTGTTTTTTCTTCTGTGGTAAGAACAGGATTCCATAAAAGAAAGAATATTCTATGGGGCTGAAGAGATAGATCAGAAGATAAAAAGAACTAACTGCTCTTCCAGAGGTCCTAAATTCAATCCCCAGCAACCACATGTGGCTCACAACCATCTATCTTGGGATCTGTCTCTTATACATTAAATACATAAGTAAATCTTTAAAGACTGACTCTGAGATAGATAGATAGATAGATAGATAGAGAGAGAGAGAGAGAGAGAGAGAGAGAGAGAGAGAGAGAACATTCTGTGTTCCTATGTTTATATTGTGAGTGTTGTCTGGTCCTAGCTATCATATATCATATTTTAGATTTTGTTTTAGCTTTTGATGATTATAGTTTGTGAACAGATTCTTATTAAGTAAATTAAGTACAGCAATGTTTTCCCATTAGTAAAACTGTAAATTATTAGTTTCAGTAGTGGCTGTAAAATGTGAATCAAACATACAACTAAGATTAGAACCACAGGCTGGAAAGGCAGCTGAACAGATAAAAACCCTCCCTGTGAAATGTGAGCACTAGAATTCAGATCCCCAAACCTACTGTGAAAGATCCCTGTATGTGTGGCTGTCTGCCTTTAATCCAAGTACAGAACGGGCAGAGACAGGAGATTCCTACAAAAGCTACCTAGGCCTACTATCAAAAACAGCATGTTCTGGGCTTATTGAGAAACTGTGACTAAACACATATGTTGGGATCATTTGAGGGAAATACTTGACATCAAGGAGGGGTCTCCACAGACACACATAGGATAATGTATGCTCATATGCATGCACATACATATTGAAAAGGAAAGTAAAAGATTAGAACCCATGTTAGGACACAAAACAAAAGTACAAATAATAATCAAACTCTACATACAATCAGTCTGGTGGCAGGTAGGACCACGCTCTGATGCAGCCTTTGGTTCCATAACACATCATCCACGCCACAATTGCTGTTAGCCTGGTCTTCATTGGGGTCATCCTTGAAGACTGCGTGGGCGTGCTCATCCATGCTCACAGAGCTCAGCGGTTCAATAAAATACCTTTCATTTCCTTGACTGAAGTAGCCCCTGAGGAACACAAGCAGTCAGGCTTCTTAACAAAATAATATTCCTTTTGAGTTGCACAGAGTCCTCAAAGACTTCATGACTTGCTAGGCAATGGCAAAGGAGGTTAACCTTATGGCAACAGAGGTTTCTGACGTTTTGGTTTCTGACACCAGAGATGTATCTTGACTCAGTTCCCAGGTTTCATCCTGTTCCTACACTACGGGGGCCTTGAAAGGGAAGGACACTTTGGAGTCTTGTAAGGGATTAAAATTCTAAGCCTGTCTCTAACTAAGAATCCAGAAAAAATGCTATTTAATTAAGCAGTCTCATTTTTTAGTCTATAAACTAGAAAAACAGAATAGCTGTGAGGAGGATGGTAGGGGTGGAAAGAGAAAGCAGGTGAAGCATGTGGTCAGGGAAGATTTTCAGCTTCTTCCTAAACCCTGCTACTGAAGTCTGAGCTGACTCCAGGACCACCTCTCTCAATTCCCCAGCTTAGTGGCTGATTGCTCCCTGCATTGTTTTTAAGGCTCACTAGCTTTTGTACAACTTATGAGTAATTCTAGTTGTATTTTCATTCCTCAATTAATCTAGAGTTCCAAAAGCTTAGAATTGGTCTGCATCATATTAAAGAGAGTGTGAAGCACTGTACTAAAAGCAGGGGATAAAAGAGATCCACAGTCTCTTCCTTCATGAATCTTATATTCAAAATGAGGAAAATGAATGTGGAGACATAATAAAAATGTATATGTCATTATTTAGCAAACTATATATATTTGCAACTCTATCTGATTAGTATGAAGTAGAAATGTGTGAGTGTACAGTGTCTGGAACTGGAAGACAGCCAGTGTGAGTGTTTGTTTCAATGGTCTAGGTGGAGTACTTAAAGTAGGGTGTTTCAGTAGAGACAGATATAGTGAACAAACAGGAAATAACTAGAAGAGATGATCACTGGATCTTGAAAGGAACTGAAGGCTAGGAATCTTCAACATTTCAAGATGCCCGACTACCTAAGTTATTACTTGATTATTCCATCCATGAGGTTGAGAACACTGGAAAACAATGATTAGTGAGACAACTGATATGGTTGGTTCAGAACACACTGAGACTTGAATTCTTTAATGTGTCCAACAAGAAGTGCAGAAGAGGAAATGTGTCAGTTCCTGGTGTTGATGAGATACCGTGGGGTAGACTTGCTCATGGATTTCACTGACAGGCAGAAAAGTACAGAAGAGCTTAAGAAGGAACACTAGAGAGAAATAAAAATGAGGAGGGAAAGTAGAGGAGCCCCTACTCCATCACAGTCTGACCATAAACCTAAGTCTCAAATTCTTCACTTTGAAATGAGAAAAAGCAGAAAACAGAAGGCAAAGGTTCAGCTGTATAATTTTCATGCTTTAAAAAGAAATGGAGTTTTGATGCGCAAGTATAAGTACTTATGCTTGAGGGTCTTCAGACTTACAAGACATGAACTCTGTATCAGTGGGAAATATTTCTGAAGTCTCACCTTAAACCTTGACATGTGCTGATGCTGGCTTCGGAGGCTTTCTCATTTATGATGTGTCCTTGGTAGTAACAGCTATCCTAAGGGAAATAAGAGGTACTTTGTAAGGAAAGTCTTTAGAAGTCTTAGATTCCATGACCAATTACAATTTGAAATCTTGGAATGGGAACAATTTCCTGCTGTACAGTCATTAAGTTACAGACTTTAAAAAAATAAATATAAGCATCTTATGTGTTAAATCTTTTATGAAATTGACTCCCCAAATGCTTATACTATGTAGTCTGTTTATTGTATATAGTAATGTAAATATACGTGCTACTTGGAATTATATGCTATATAGTGTATTCTATATATTATTATAATATATTAGTGATGATGAAACAGTACAAAATCGTTGAGCACAATTTAGAAAAAAATGATTTAGTTATCTAAGTTTAAAATTGAGTCTCTAAAGTCTGACTTTTACTTTCTGTCTTCAAAAATGTGTTACTCTTTGCTTTTTCCAATTTGGAGTGACAACCCCCAATTTTTTAAACCTACAGACTATTCAGGTTGTATGTCCAAAGAGTCAAACTAGATTAAAATGAGTCTGAACAACAAGCCATGGTTCTATATGGAGCAAAGTGCCAGAGTTATTTCTCCATGCAGCCGTTCCACACCAGACCCTTCAATCTTTGAAGACATGTGGCATTGGCCTACATAATTCCCAAAGGTTTGAAGGCTCTCATAATTGAAAGAAGAGGAGGATACTCTGCCTCACAGTTAAGGACTCCATATGTCAAACTCCATATGGGGATTTTAGGGGACAGATCAAGAGGGAAGTTATTTATGGCAATACTGAGTTGTACAGACCATATAATTTGGAAGTGTGGCAGCAAACGGCTAAAAATAGCAAGAATGCTGAGCTGTTCACATTACAGAGCCCCTTGCAGAAAGTAACTCTTAAAGAATATGTATGTTCCTACTGCCTGGCTCCCATGAAATGGAAAAGGCTACTGGGGTCCTTCTTTATCATTCTTAAGAAAATATAATAATGTTAGAAGATCAATTAAGTAATTACTTCTGTTGGAGAAAAAAACAGTACCAAGGCTATAAAAGCAGTTACAGCCCTATTTGCCTTGCAAAGACACTGTATACAGCCTTGCAGGGCACACTCTATTACCAAAGGACCTGGGAGGCTGTCTTACCATGATTTGTGGGCTTGTGGTGACCTCTTTTCCACTGGAATTATAGTGTGTTTCCGAGTACCCTGGTGCTAGGAGCTTGCTAGAGAAAGAAAAAGGAAGAGCATGGTTACACATGTCAACTGTGAAAGTTCAGCAAACGAATAAGACATCGCAGTCTGTGCAGACAAGTTTCAACTCTTCAGCTTCTCCTATGCACCAGACAAGTTCCCACAGGAAAGCACTGCTTACATTGGCCAGGCAGGATGGTACCGCGAGGTCAGGGACATTCCAGAGGGCTGTGGGACAAGCCCCTCTCCACATGGGACTTGATTGCTATTTTCAGGAGAAACTTGAGAAGGAGCAGAACTGAGGTCAAAGGTGATAGAAGTAAGCACTTGGAACGAGTTTAGCACCAAGGTGTACAATTCTTCCTCCCCAGTCCTTTCCACAGGACAACATTGTGAATCCCTCTCTCAAGCACACAAACAAGCAAAACTTAAAGCAAATTATATCAGAACCACTCCAGCACTTGGCAAAACAATCAAATCTGTCTTCCTGTACCTCTTTGTTGTGTTTCACTTCTAAAGTTTCAAAGGCCTAGTAAACTATTTTCCGTAGTGCATTTCAACTACTGTAAGAGAAGACTATTCACTGTGAGTCAAGGTTGGAAGCACTAAGGCTGATAACAGGCTCTTCCAGCATGCTGTCCCCACTTCAGCTTGCTGTAGGGGGTGGGGGAACCGCAGCTGGACACATACTCACTTGTTCTTCTTCAAGTACAGCACCGCCACCTTCCCATTAACTGACATTTGGTACTTTAGCTCAGTTTCGAATGCTTCCTGCAAAAATGCACCAACATTAACTTATAATCAAAAAGTGGCAGTTTTTATGGATTTAATCCTCAGCAGGTAATGCTTACTTTTCTCTACCAGGGGACTGTGAGACTCTCCAGTGGTCTATCTAGACCAGGAGATCTCAACCTGTGCGTCAGGATCCCCCTGTGGGAGGGTGTCGCGTATAAGAGATTTACATTATGATTCATAACAGTAGCAACATTACAATTAGGAAATAGCAACATGAGGAACTGTAATAAATGGTGTAACATTAGGAAGTTTGAGAACCACTGGTCTCTACCCGTGCAATAGGTGAATCCACCTACTAAATAGACAAATTAGTTCTCTCTCTTTATCTCTCTGTCTCTCTCTGTGTGTCTCTGTCTGTCTCTCTGTCTCTCTCTCTCTTTCTCTCTCTCTCTTGCTGTGTGTGTGTGTGTGTGTGTGTGTGTGTGTGCTGAGAATTCTCCAGAATCTTGAAAATACTGGCTAAAGACTCTACCACTGAGCCACATTCCAGGCCCTGTATTTGATATCTTTATACATAGTTTGATGCACTTGGCAAGGTTAAGTTTGATCACCAAGTGTTTGTGGAAAAAATATTTATATTCCAGAACATTGATTAGGAGATGGAATGAAGGAGAGTGGGGGAGTAGGGATATGCTAAAGGTATAGAAAGTACCTTTAACTAGGGCCAGCTTAATGGGTGACTTAGAGGGTGAAGGTACTTGCCTGACAACCTGAGCTCCATCACTAGGATCCACGCAGTTGAAAGCACAAAACAACTATTCCCTTTCAACTCTGAGTTCCACATAAGCATCGTGCCAAGAGAACCCCACACACATTTGCACTTACATGCATATCCATGCACTCATGCATGTATACACACATACACACTAAATAAATGATAAATAAATAACTGTAATAAATAATTAAAGTATACACGCAGACAGCTTCAAGCTAGAAGGGAAGGTTGCATTTGCTCTCAAAGGCCCAATCAAACGTACACCCAATATATGCATACCACTCTATATTTGTAAAATCAACATTTTTCTTTAGAATCAAGAACAAAATTGTGCAAGTCAAGCCTCAAATTGTAATTTCAGGAAATTATTCTGTTAGCCTGAAATTAAGTATGCCACAGTGGCTTTCAAGAAAACATAAGATGACCAAGGGAGAGAGGGAGAGAAAATACAGGTGTATGTGTGTAAACATTTAAAGTAGCATTGAATAAGTAAGAAATGGTAGAGAGTAAGAAATAAGCTTTGGTGAGGAAAGGAAGAGACACACCAACACTCACTGTCAAATAGCTGATGTTGCAAAGAAGTGAAAACAGCCCATTCACAGGAGCCAGGAAACCCTTGAAAATGAGTCATATGGCATGCGACACAAAAGGTAACAGGCAGAGGCAGCATAGCCCTGAACACAGAGCACTTATCTTAAGCCTACTTCACTTTGCATAGGTTAAATCCTTTTCCATACAGTATTTCCCACAGGAGAATTAACAAAGCTAAATGTGAATACACATTCACCCTTTCCATTAGGTCTCCAGGCACCAGGCTAATGTAAGTTTTTTGTGGCTGTTTAGAGGTAACCTAGACAAGCAATTTGTCTGCAGTAAAACCAAGGACACCACATCGAACACATCCCTTTCCGAAATCATTCTAAAAATCAATATTGTGAGGCTGGAGAAATAGCTCATCTGTTAAGAGCACATGCTTCTCTTTCCGAGGACCCCGGTTGGGCTCCTAAACCTAAGAAGGGTGGCCCACAAGCACCTGTAACCCTATCTCCAAGGGATCTTATGACCGTTTTTGACCTTTGTAGGTAACTTTTGCAATACATACATAAAGACACATGACACATACATGCAAGTAATTTTAGAACTGATTAATTATCTATCATAGCCATGGATTCTATCATAACAATGGTTTCAAATAAAATCTATATTTGTGAGGAAATAATTTCATTGCTGTGATAAACTCACTTTATCTTTATTCAAATTTCCCTTAAAATATTCAGAAAAAAAGTGTAACTAACTTTTTTTGGTACTGAAATTGTTTGAAGAAAATTTCCTTGAAGAAGACTCTGATGAATATGTATTCCATCATAGTTAAGGGGATATTTTCATCATAAAGATATTTTGAGGAAGAGACTTTTGGAAAATTACTTTAACTATGTAAAGATGTGTTACATTTGTTTGTGCTGTGGAACATTACTTTAACTATAAAGGTGTGTTACATATGTCTGTAAAGAGAAGCCTTTTTTCTTGTCTTCCGCTTTGGTTTTTCCCCATCAGTTGCTTGGGCTCTGCCGCGTTGTAGTCCCCAAATAACACACAAGACACTGTATTAATTATGAAGCTGTTGGCCTTGCTTGTTTCTTACTGGCTATCTCTGACTTAAGTATTTATCCCTAATTGTTAATCTAAATATTTCTCTTACCAGAGAAAAGTTCCGGACATCTTACTTCTCTAGTGGGCTACATCATGACTCCTGTGTTTCTCCTACCCAGAGTCCTCCTGGATTCCTAGTTCCCACATATCTTGCTTTCCTATGGGCCAACAGTGCTTTATTGACATATACACAGGACTTCCCCCATCATATGCCTATGCTGCACTTGTGTAATTATGAAAAGATGTGTTGCTGTTTCACCTTGCCTGCCTAAGTCACATGACTGGTCTAATAAAAAGCTGAATGACCAGTAGCTAGGCAAGCAAAGGATAGGAAGGGTTGATGGGCAGAGAGAATAAGTAGGAAGAGAAGTCTAGGCTAGAAGAAGAAGGAGAAAAGAAAGAGAAGGATATACCCAGGGCCAGACGTCAGGCAGTAGCAAAACAGACAGACATGGGAAGAAGCAAGAAAGTAAGACAAACAGAGAGAGAGAGAGAGAGAGAGAGAGACAGAGACAGAGAGACAGAGACAGAGAGACAGAGACAGAGAGACAGAGAGAGAGACAGAGAGAGAGAGAGAGAGAGAGAGAGAGAGAGAGAGAGTAAAAGCCCCAAGGCAAAAGATAGATAAAAAGAAACAAGTTAAAAGAGCTAGCCAGAAAGGACCTTAAACTAGGCAGAACATCTAAAACTTGTTAGAAGTTTCTGTGTCATGATTTGGGAGCTGGCTGGAGGCCCAAAAGAAAAAGCCTGGTACACAGACTCTACTAAGAATTCTGCTAGCAAGGGGTCAAGACTGGGCTGGTGAAACCCAGAGAAACAGCTGACCTGAACAAGGTGGAGGGAGATCTTAGACTCCAGACTGATGGCTGAGAGGCCAGCATGGGACTGATCCAGACTCCCTGAATGTGGCTGTCAGTGAGGAAACATAGGCAATCTGTGGGCCTTTGGGTAGTAGAAAAGTATTTATCCCTGGAACACAATGGTCTTTGGGTACCCATTCCACAATGAGGGATGCTCTCTCAATCTGGACAATTGGGGGAGTGCCTGGGCCCTCCCAGGAATGAAATGACAGACTTTAGACCTCCACCATGGAGGGCCTTACCCTCCCTGGGGAATGGAGTGAGGATTGGATGGGGGCTGGGGAGCTGGTAGGGGGAGTGGGAGTGGAGGGGTGGGAGAGGGAGCTGGGACTGACATGGGAAGCAAGCTTGTCTTGTTTCTAATTTAAATATATAATTAAAAAGTGTTTTAAAAAACAAAAAACACAAAAAATAGTTCTGCTAGCACCAATTGGAATTGGAAGAAATTTTCTAGTAGGGGGATATGCACTCCTGGCTAGTTACATTTTAGATTATTCCAGTTATCAATTACATCTCATTCATCTCTGTGTTTCTGACTCCCATCGAATATTGCAGAATGTAGGTAATCAGAATATTGCTGTGTAATGGATTAATGGATAGGCCCTCTAATTATAGCTTAGGATGGCCTACAACTCACTATATGGCCTAGGCTAGCATCCAAGTCACAAACATATAGACAACCCTCAAGAATTAGGGTTGTCTATATATCCATGTGGAGATCTGGATATCATGTTTTAGCTTTGCTCTTGTGACTAATTAAAAATCTGAGCTAGTGTTGTCTGCAATGTGTTATTCAATTACAAGGTAAGAATTATTCAAATTTGAATGCTGTCTACATAGAAAAGATACAAATTTCAGATAAAAATGCCAACTCACATTCTTCTGCAATGTTTTATTTTAAGATTAAAATTTAAGGCAATAATTATGTGTGTGGATAGATGGTAGATAGGTAAATAATAGAATGGGTATATTATATGTAATTATTTGGAAGCATGCAGCATAAATTATTATAAAATATCAAAATCTGCACTCTATGACAAGGGACCATGCACGTCACTTCTAAGAGCTTTAATGTATTTAAAATGAAGCTAGTAGAACTTGGGCAGTAGTGAAGAATAAAATCTTAAAAAGCAAACTAATATAATCATTAATATTGTTAGTCTCCAAAGCAATATATACATGTATATCTGTGTACATGAATATATATACACATATATATTCAGGAGTCACTGAAACACCAGAAGACTTAACTGGAAAATGGCTCAGTTGGTAAAGTGCTTGATATGTCAGCATGAGGACTTGAGTTCTCTACTAAGAATCCACCTATTTAAAAAGCCTGGCATGATGGTCCAGGATCCTATCCCCAGCTAAGAAGACATGGAGACAGATAGATCCTGGGACTCACTGATTGTGCTCCAGTCCATTGAAAGACTCAGTGTCAACAAAGTGGATACCATGACAAATAACGTAAGAATGACCACAGCATACACATCCTCACATGTATGCACTTGTACACAGGCATACACATAGGCTGCATAGAAAAGAAAGAAGACAATCACAGATGTACTAACCTTTTTCTCTGGCTCTTCGGCCTCTCTTTTACGCAATGGATGAAGTCTTATGGGATAAACCACTTCATATTTCTTGGCCTTAGGGAGTTCTTTTGCTGTGTTTGCTGAGGGAGAAAGAACGAAGGGAAAATGAAGCTGTGGGACAGAATCAGCTGTTCAGCAATGGCCATCATGATGGGTGATGCCACACATAGCCCTTCAGCAATTTGTGTCCTGACACATGGACAGCTGGAAAACACTAGAAACTCACTCCTTGCCCCCTAATCTTTAATCTCTGTCTTTTAAATTTTCTCACGGGGGTATTTCCAAGTGTCTCTTTGATGACAGTTTTTCTTGGTAATTTCCCCCTTTCTTTTAGCTCCTTTGGTTCTGAGCAATGGTTCCCCAGCAGGAGAATGAGACAAGGTAAAACTTAAGCAGGATCCCATGATAATGAAGTAGAAACACTCCAAGACCTCACTGCTATGAAAATGGTATCAGATGCGCATCATTTCTGGTTGAAACACATATTCCTTGGAATTTTCAATAGCAATATTTAAAACATAATCCAAATAAGAGAAGCTTCTGCAAGGCAAAGGACACAGTCAACAAGACAAAACAACAGCCCACAGAATGGGAAAAGATATTCACAAACCACTCATCTGACAGAGGGCTGATCTCCAAAATTTACAAAGAACTCAAGAAGCAAGTCTCCAGAACACCAAAGGATCCAATTAAAAAGTGGGGTACAGAATTAAATAGAGAATTTTCAATAGAGGAGTCTAAAATGGCCAAGAGACACTTGAGAAAGTGCTCAACATCCTTAGCCATCAGGCAAATGCAAATCAAAACAACTCTGAGATACCATCTCACTCCAGTCAGAATAGATAAAATCAAAAACACTAATGGAAGTTTATGCTGAAGAGGATGTGGAGAAAGGGGAATACTCCTCCATTGTGATGGGAGTGCCAACCTGTACAGCCACTTTGGAGATCTGTTTGGAGATTCCGCAGGAAAATGGGAATCAGCCTACCACTAGACCCAGCAATTCCACTCTTAGATGCACATTTACACAACAAGGATGCCTGTTCTACTATCTTCATAGCAGCGTTATTTGTAATAGCCAGAACCTGGAAGCAACCTAGATGTCCCTCAACTGAAGAATGGATAGAGAAAATGTGGTACATTTACACAATAGAGCACTACTCAGCAGAAAAAAAATGGAATCTTGAAATTTGCAGGCAAATGGATGGCACTAGAAGAAGCCATCCTGAGTGAGGTAACCCAGTCACAAAAAGACAAACATGGTATGTACTCACTCATATATGGATTTTAGACATGGAGCATGGTATTGCCAGCCTACAATCCCACTGCCATAGAGTCTGGGATACAGGGAGAACCCTAAGAGAGATATGCATGGTAACCCAGAGAAAGGTTATGGCACAAGATCTCCTAATTGGATTGGGGGGAGAAGGAGGGCAGAAGGAGATGGGAGAAAGAGGGGGGTGAAAGAAGAGGGGAGAGGAGGACATGGGAGAGCAGGAAGGTTGAGCCAGGGTAAGAATAGAGGAGAGAAGGATGGGAGATACCATAAAAGAGGGAGCCATTGTAAGTTGGAGGAGAGATCTGACACTGGTGAGATCTTCACAGATCTACAAGAATGACACCAACTGGCATTAATGCTACCTTAAATTCCCTCCCATGATAATGAGAATGATGACTACCTTATATGCCATCCTAGAACTCTTATCCAGTGGCAGCCGGAGGCAGAGGCAGACACCCACAGCTGGGAACCGAACTGAACTCCTGAAACCCAGTTGCAAAGAGGAGTGATGAGCAAAGGAATCAAGATCAGGCTGGTGAAACCCCTAGAGGCAGCTGACCTAAACAAGGGGGAACACATGGACCCAAGACAGATGACTGAGGGGCCAGCATGGGACTGATCCAGACATTCATGCCACCGAACCTGAGAGTCCTAGAGGAGGCCTCTGCAGTTTGTGGAACCTTGGAGAGTAGAGCAGTATTTATTCCTGGCATACAAATGTACTCTGAGAACCCATTCTACATGGAGGGGTGCTCTCTCAGCCTGCACACATGGGGGAAAACCTAGGTCCTGCCCGGTATGATGTGACAGACTCTGAAAATCCCTCATGGAAGCCCTTGCCCTCCCTGGGGAGCAGAGGGGAGATCCGGTGGGGGGTGTGGGAGGATTGGGGGTGGGGGAGGAGGGGAGGGAGATGGAACTGAGAGTGACATGTAAAAAGTTAAATAAAAATTATCTCTGAAAAAAAAGAAAAACTTCTGATGCTGTGCTAATAGAAAGATCTGTCATGAGCAATCCTGACAAGCCTTCATTTTTTGGCATGAAAATATGAAAATTTCTGGGCACTGGTGGTGCATGCCTTTAATCTTAGCACTCAGGAGGCAGAGGCACGTGGATCTCAGTGAGTTTGAGGCCAGTCTGGTCTACAAAGCAAGTTCTAAGACAGGCTCCAAAGCTACAGAGAAACTGTGTCTCAAAAAAAAGAGAGAGAGAAAGAAAGGAAAAAGAAAACTATGAAAATTAGAGAAGTAGAGAATTGAACAGAGGCACTGATCAGGGCAGGACTTCTTGGAGGCTGGATTCACACTGGGAGGAAAGTGGAAAGTCACCACAAACAAACAATCCACATCTTCTCTGTGTCAGGATTTGGAGCTTCTCTCAGACCAAGCACAGTGGTCCACCCATTAGCAGACATAACTGTTGACTCTCACCAAACAAAACAGCACTAGACAGTTTAGTCCAATGATTCCCCAGAGAATAAAATATTTATTCCTTTTTATTTTTATTTTTCTGAAAATCAAAGCAAAAAATGAAATCTAGTGATGTCAGTTTGAAATGGTTTTAAATCATGTGATAGCACAAGAACAATTTAACCTGGGAGGATAGAAAAACTCATTAAGCTCTAAGTGTGCACTCAGAGTCAAAGTGGCAATTAGGATAATGAAGGAAAGAACCGTTCTCTCCATGACTTAGGGTTAACTCTTAGAAAACACTTCAAAAACAAAGCTAAGGCTGGAGAGATGGATCAGCAGTTACTGGCTGCTCTTTCAGAAGACCCAGGTTCTATTGTCAGCACCCACATGAGAAAAGAAACTCATACATGTGGGTAACTCCTGTTTAGGGAATCTGATGCCGTCTTCTGGCCCCCTTGACCACTAGGCAGGCAAGTGGATTACAGAGATATGTACAAGCAAAATATCCCTATAAATAAAATTGAGAATATATAAATAAATAAAAATACTTAAAACAATGTACAGATACTGCATTATCTTCAATTTAGATTTAGGAAATTTTAACTGCTTGAAAAGTGGGGGCAGATTAAACTGTGTCTCAGATGTGTACAGTAGTCTATAATATTATACAAACAAACACAAACCACTACACTGTCTTCAAAAGGGCCAAGTCTCATCAGCTGTGACAAATAAGTCAACACTTCTGTAACAGTAGTACAAAGTTTTTTTTTCAATTCTTTCTTTTTGTCTTTTTGTTTGTCTTTCATTTTGCCAGAGCCCCACTAGGCTAACATCAAATTCAAGATACTACTACTTCTAAATCCCAAAGCTGGGCTCCTGCAAATGTATCCTTAAGCCCAATCCACAAACTTCTTGAGCTTCTAATTTCTTGGAGTAGTGATGTAATCACTGTACTCTTTATTTCTATGGAATTTAGTATAACTTTATTAAATACATATGCAATTTATTCTAATGTTGGTGAAGAAAAGTAATAGTATTGGTCACAAAATAACATTTTAGTGTTCTAAAATGGGGGATGGTCATTCTCTCCTGCTAAAATTGTGTGATTACTTCAGAGCAGTGAGATGCCAAGAGGTAAGAAGCAGCTCTTGCCAGAAATGAGCTAATGGCTTGGGGGCAATTCCCTGCAGCCTCCTTTAATTCACTGGCACAGAAAATACACACCATACAGTGCCAGCATGCTAGATGGTGTATTATGGTGCCTAATCACTGCAATTAGCCCCATAGATATTGAGTCATGAAGGCATTGCTCACTGATGTTGGAGCCTCGACAATTCTTTTCTTTAAATGCCACACCAGGGGAGGAATTGGACTAGGGAGATGGCTCAGTGGTTAAAAATACTTCTGTCTTTTCCAGAGGACCCAAAATTCACTTCCTAGCACACATTTTTTGTGACTCACAGCTGCCTGAAACTCCATCTCTGGGGCATCTGATTCTCTCTTCCGGTTTCCACAGATGCCTGCACTCCACACATATGCACACACTCAGAAGTACTCACTCACAATTAAAACGTGGAAATGATTTTTAATGCCATATTGGAGGGATAGAGAAATGGCTCTTGTTTAAGTTACTCTTCCGAAGTTCTACTCCTAACCCCCACCTGGTGATGTACAACTGTCTCTAAGATTCAACACCTTCTTCTGGCCTCTGCAAGCAGATATGCATGTAGATAAAAGACCCATACACATAAACTGTTTTTTTAGGTTTCTTATGACAAAAAGCCATATCGGTGGTGTTCATCCACAACACGTGTGATTCTAACATGAAATCAGTTAAAGGTTCCTTTGAGTCATAAAGTGATGATAATACCCACCTGACTTTTCCTATAAAGAAAGAATATGGTAACAGCCCCGCTTCTCTTTCAGGAGAAGGTGAATAGGGAACTAAGTCACCCCATCCAAGAGCAAGCATTTTCTGTGCTGTAAGTGTTGAAACCACACTTCCAGCTAGTCTGAAGCCTAGTATTTAATGAAACCAAAAGTCACCAACTAGTCGTTAACTAGAGAATCAAAACGTGTGAACTACTTACAAAATGTATTTATTTCCCACTCACTCTTTGGTGGTGAGGCACTTCCAAATAGAAACCAAAACAAACAAAAGTATTTCTTTTTATAATCTTCAGCAACTTCTCTTCATTATATGAAATAAGTAAGTTTCCAGTCCATTCCAAACTCTTACAACACAGTCAGTTCTCTAAAGAAAACAGATAGAATTTCTCTGATTATCCTGAAAGCTAGAAGGCCCTAGAAAAAGGATATCTGAGATGTGGGGGTTTCCACAGCATAGAAAGGGTTGGAGTAGACACGGATATTGTTTGGCTCACATATCCTCTCATTTGATGGAGATGGGGCAGCCTCCTCCCAGGTGAATAAAATCAAGGTAATTATTTAGAAGCCAGTGGCACAAACAGAGCTAACTGCCATCCAGGGATTACACAAATCCAAGGTGCAACACAATATGCTTCTATTAATTTATTTTAATGCTTATTTGCTTTCTCTCTCCCACAGAACTCATGTGTTGGATTAGTTTTGACCAGCAAAACTGGAACAAGGGAGAGAAGACAATTACTTTGGTTTGAGTTAGAGATGTAACTGAGTGTGTGGTTGTGGGTTGGATTTTTCTTTAGCTGTTCATTAGTTTAAGATAAAGCAATTCTCAATAATGGGATTAACATAGCTGACCTCAGTCTATAACGCTTTTCTATTTTGATTCATTTTAGAACATTTAAGCATAATATCAGCATCTGTAGTTTGCTCCAAATCTGTTAGATTTCCAGGGTTGTCTTTTCCTATTGAGGCACCAAGCCTTTAAGTTTATGCAATGACATTGGCTCTCTGACCCCTAGATTCTTGTACTTTTAAATGTTATTCAGTAAAGATGAATATAGGGGGAAACTGGAACTCGTATTCTAACTAAGTGTATTATTTAGCTTTATATGTTAGATTGTCCATAGTGGCTTAGTTTTTCCTATAAAGACAAGAAATAATTGCTAGTGTAAAATAAATGTATTTTTAAAGTCACTGCATCCCAGGGCACACTCCTGAAACAGGAAAGCCACTTGACCTTTGTCAATGCACTGATTGACTTCCTCTTCCCCATCCATGTCTTTTTAAACATTTGTTTTTACTCTTCCTATGATGAAATCACATATCACTTTCCTCAGGGGATGGTGAAGCTCATTACAAGCTTCTGTTCTGATTTTTCATATTCTTCTTTTATTTCCAGTGGAACCAGGTAAAGGTTATGGCCAGAGGGCACATGCATAGAGTATCAATGATGTGGAGGGAGAAATAAAGAGAATGGGTTAAGAAAAAAATCTTTTGTTCCTTGTATTCTGTCTGGAAAACCAGTCCCTATGGGGTGTCTAGCAAAGGTACTTCAGTGGATGGCAGGGGTGGAGGGTGTTGGAAGGGTAACAGGGATGGTAAAGAAAGTCCGGGTGTGGCATCCTATTTACAATGAATACCTCCTCACTGGAGAGCAATCAGAGCACATCCTTGAGATGATGTCATACTTCTAAGCATGATTTCACATCTCCTGCTGCCATGCTCTGATGCAGAGCTGGAGGAGCAGAAACTGTCAGGTTTCTGCTGATTTCTCCCTGATGTCACTGAAATGACAGTGGCATGCATAGTTCTTACCAGTACCCATGAGACTTTGTCACAGATCTACCTGATCTTTCTCCCCTTGAACAGAGCTGGATCCCAAGAAGCTCTTCTCTTTCTTCTGAGAGTGGCGTCCCCAACAGTACTGGGGTCAGTGTTTTCAGAAAATGTGAGGAAAGAATTCCTACAAATATTTCAATTCTTGCAAATCAGAACTAGGAATTTAAAGTCAAGAGCTCATGTATTTAAGGATATAGTACTATCCTAACTATTTAATGATGTTAAGCACAATTTTCATGAGTCTGAAAAGCAAAGGAGAAGTCATTCTTAGTAAGAAGATACAGAGAGGGTTAGGGAGGAGGACAACCACTTCATGCTCACTGCCTTCACTCTTGTCCATAATTCATTCATTCCTAGATTCCAGCAAACATTCTATGGTCCAAGAAAACATTGCCAGTGTGGGTGAAGATTCAAGCTCCAGACACAGACACAGACGATGGTGGAGAAATGTGTCATCAGATCCCAGTCATGCCCACCTAAGCTGAGAATTTATAAAATGGAGACACCTACTTGCTACAACATGCTATGAAGTGCTATTCACTACATCTAAATTCTTTGATGTTTTCTATAACCGGCAAAAAAGAAAAGGCTATCCACATACACTGAGCTGAAACTCCTCCTCATTAATAATATTGCAATGCTTTAGAACTATAAATCTGAGCATGGCACCCTGCCAATTGACTGTATCTATTACCACTAAGCATAAAAACGTGCAATCCCAAGTGACCAATCCTTGGTGGTCTTAACCAGTCAAATCTGCTGTTTTGTTGAACTAAAAACCGACACAATTAGTTTTGATAGATTTTGTTTCTTGACTCAAAGATCACATTCACAGTTCAAATGTATAAGAGAGTCCCTTTCTCTTTTAAGGTACTAGATATGACATATAAATATTTCAGAAACCTCTATTTGCTCTCCTTCATGTCCATCACAGCCCCCAAACCACAGATTAAAGCCAGCCCAAATGGCTAATAAAACTGGTAAAAGGGGGAAGAAACAGCTAGCCAATGTATCATATACCATAAGACTAGGAGCAGATGGATAGCATGCAGTCCTGTGACACATTGACCAGATCCAAGAATGGTTAATGCCTACCTGGAACTGGAGGAAGGAGAAAAGAAACTACCAGAAGACTCCATTGCAACATGCTGCGGTTCCAGGAGCAGCGCCTGCCTCCGCTCTCACCTGTAAGCCTGCTTCTGCCCCAACCTCCTCTTAAGGGAGTCAGAATGAAACTCCCTGCTTCATTGTGTATGCTTGAGCAAGTGTTTACTGAAGGTGTTGCACAACTTAGGAGCTGTGGTCTTGCCGCAATGGCATGGCAGGCGGAAGTCCTGACCGCCTCTTGGCTGGCTCTAAAATTTCCTGTACTAGCAGCTATTATTTCCCTCTCTTTATTCGCTATGTGTCCCATTCAAGAGCAAAATAGCAAGTTTCCAATGTATTGTTATAGCTCAGTAGGTCACAAGGAGGTAACTGCCTTGACATATCTTGATATATACACCTGGTTTTATATTATGTATGTAATTATATTTGGAATATGCACATGCTATATTATGTGTACATGATATATATATAACATAATTAAATGTATGGATTTTTCAGCTAAATAAAAAAGGTAAGAAGAATATTGTTCTTCTACACATTTATGTTTTATAAAAAATTTCAAATTCTTTATAATACCTATGTGAAATTCTTATTTCCAATTACTCTTCAAGGTATTCTCACACAAAGATGTTCACAAGAAGCCTAGACTATCCTGAAATGCGATGCTTTTAAAGACAGGATTTCACAAATCCTAGGCTAGGCTCCAACATACTGTGTAGCACAGGTTGAACTTGAACTCTCTACAATCCCCGAGTGCTGGGATTGCAGGCCGTACCTCCACAGTCAGTTTTCATGAAGTGCTATGGATCAGATACAGGGTTTTATGCATGCCTGGCAAGTGTTTTGCCAACTGAGTTGCACCCATTCTCCTGAAATAAGAGTTTTGACAACACAAGTACAAAGTTCTCCAGACCACCATGGTGTTTGTACCCTAACTAATGACCTGGGTGAGATGATTTAAGGATGGAGGAGGAGCGGTCTGGGCCTGTCACCGCTGTTGTGATAATAACTTAGTTACGTGCAGAAATCATACACTAAAACTGAAAACAAATGTATTTAGTTGCTTATTTAACTTTAGGAACCCCCCTAGTCTATTATTCTTGTTATATTAGTCCTACTGACACATCTGTCTGCCAAGTACCATTTTACCTCCATTTTGTATGTGAAAAATGGATTTTAAGAACATAAAAGGGTCTACAAGATTAAGATTCCATTGTCTCCATTATATAGATTAAGAAGATTAGGCTGTTTGCTCACATTGCTCATGCAAAAACAGAAGGGGTGGAGTTTGAACTCAGTGCTGTCTGAGTTCTTGTTCATACACCTTCATGTTTCTTAGTTATCTGACTCACACACACAGCCTTACTTCTAATGATAATATTCCTATGGATCAGAAATGACCCTAAGAACAAATTGTGAACACATATGTTATAGTTAGGACACATGAGTTATGCATTATCTTAATACAAAGCACAGTTTTGGGCTAGAGAGATGTTAGTAAAAAGGACTGCCTTTCAATGACCATAAAAGCACCACACAACCACAAGAGAATTGTAAATCTGATTGCACAGCATTTCAAAGTAAAGGTTGAGAGTCTACTACTAGTTGGGAGCTTGTCTCTTCAACTCACACACTCTAGCTTTTCCTTTTCTGGGCAACATGGAAGCTATACCCACTTTTTTTTATTTAGTTCTTAGAAATTTTCAAGCAATGAGTTTCAACCATATTTACTCCTTCCCCAACGCCTCCCAGATCTGCTCTCTCTAGCCCCATCTAATTTTCTGTCCTCCTTTTTTTGGTAACTTATCAAGTCCAATATGTGACCATGTCATCTTAGATGTGTGGTCTTCCACTAGAGTCTGGATAACTTACCATGGAGCTACACTCACAAAGAAAACGGACTCCTTCTCCCAGAAGCTATCAATTGCCAATGACTCGTCAGTTAGTGGTGAGACTTCCTGCTCACCTCTTTTGTCTATGATGGGCTTGAGCTTGCTCAGGTCTTGTGCATGCTATCACAATTGCTGTGACATTCAGGACCTGCTGTGTCTTCAGGACACTGCCGTCATCCACCACTTCTTACATTTTCCTCTGTCTCTTCCAAATTGATCCCTAAGCCTGGAGGTAGGAGGTGTGGCATAGATATCTCAGTTAGAGCTGAGAATTCTTCAGTTTCTTATCCTCTGTGCATTGGTCAGTTGTGTTCTCTGTTAATCACCATCTACTGCAAACACAAACTTATGTGATGAGGCTTGAGAGATACACTGGTCTGTGGATATGATAACAAGTCATTAGGAATTATTTTAATACTATGTTCATTTTATTTTATTTTATTTTTCTTCATTCATTTGATTCCACATTAATTAGTACATAATATGTGTCATACATTGAGGGCACAATTAAAAGACCCAATCACTCTTTTGGGATGCTTCCAATCTGGTAAGAAACACAAGGAAGACCACTTCCATGCAATTACAGAAAGTGAGTGTGATTATGTGCCCTGTACCATTATGTCTCTTCTTTAGTTCTAGAATATAACTATAGATAGAGGTAAGAGTTCTTTATCAATTGTGCAAGAAGAACTTTCTGGAAGCTAGAACAATGCAGTCTGTGAAGAATTCACTGTAAGACACTCTGCAATGTGCATATTACAATGCATTATTTTAGCATTGGCCATATTTTGGCATTGTTGGAGCAATGAGGACCTGGAGCAGGAGTCCTGCTAAAGATAAAGTGGATTGATTAACTTGTGCATCTGCTTGGTTGTATTGGAAGAACATCCTGGCAAAGTATTGTGATGTGGGAGTCACTTGAACTATCAATTGATCTTCAGTACTCTTCAGATTTCCTGTGATAACCATGCTTGTGACAAGACTTGTTTTCAGCTATAATTTTCACATTTCCAGGTTAATCTTTAGAGACTAGTTATATTTATAAAGTCCTTTAATAGCAAAGAATTTTACTGATATCCGAATGAGTTTTATTCTCCTCTTCACCAGTTACTGGCTTGAAGATGTACCAAGTAAGCATAACGAATGATGAGTGGATAAGTTTCGATGGCCAGCTTAGTTTTCCACTTCTCTTTTTGTTCATAAAAATAGTTATCACATATTTTGTCATCTTTGTTTGTTAAACTCTGGAAGAACATAAAGTAAATGGAGGAAGAATATGTTAAGAGCAGAGACGACATATTTATATGATAAACACAAAATACCACAGTAGAGTAAGGAACAGCATAAGTTTAGCATCCAAGTTTTTAACCTAAGAACAACCAGTTCCTACCAGTACAGAATGGCTGAAGCTATACTACAGTAGAAAAAAGCGGGGGGGGGACCAACTGCAAGTCAAAATGAAAAAAGCAGGAATATGAGCAAAATAAATGACTGGAAAGGGATGTATTTCGTAAGTTCTTAGGGAGAAAAAGTAGTAAGAGTTAGTAACTAGGTATAGTAGAGTGGAAATTAAAAAGAAACCATTTTTCACTAAATACTTACTTAGTGTCTACTGTGAACTAACTGCAGCAATCACATTTTGTGATCACATTTTACCCATAGAGTTAAAACCCCTGAAAGCAAGAAAGCATAGAACCTGGTTGGAACAAGAGAGCAGGCAAAGTACACAAAATAAGGTGGTTCGTTCAGGGACCACTTAAAATGTTCCCTTTGAGGGCAGGATATTCAGTGCACACCTTCCCAGGATCTTTTTGCCTCCAGCAGCAGCAAGGAAATGGAGGGCAGAGTTCTCCACCTCACTGTGGTAATCATTGTTCTCCTAGACACTGACACTTCTACATTCACATCTTATATTGAATGGGCTGTCTTGAACTATTATTTCATACATGAAGAAGTGTTACTTCACTTAGATTTCAACATATCTGACTGAGATCAAAACCCATTATTGGGCAATGTCTTATTTACTAAATGCTTATAAAAATTTCCATTGACCTGTAACACCAGCACACAGGAGCTTAAGACAAAAAGACTGCTACAAGTCTGAAGCCAGTTTGGGTTCCATGGTGAGTTCTTAGCCATCCTGAGCTAAAGAATGAAGATGAAGAAGAAGAAGAAGAAGATGATGATGATGATGAAGGAGAAGGAATAGGGAAAGAGGAGGAAGAGAAACAAAAAATATATTTTTATGAATTTTTTTCATATAAGTTTGTGAGATTTTTTTCCATGCAACTACTCCAGAGATTATAAATCTTATATAAGCAAGAATATATGGGGGATTTGGAACTGCTGCTTTCTTGGCTCAGTACACAGACCTCGGATATGAAATCACAATAATGTTTTAAAAGGTGTCAAGCCACACAGAGAAGTAACATTCCCTAGCATTTCTCTAACACAGGACAAACTAGCCTTACTCAGAACAATGGTTAAGTGTTCCAGAGTGTTTCACAGTTTAAGATGTTGTCAGAGAAGAGGTCCAGACCAAGCTAAACTTACCATTTTATAAAAATACAGTGATGAATAAAAGTGAAGGGGGAAGAATAAGGACAGAAATTGTCACAGCAGATTTTGGGAGAGTTAAGAAGTCCCAGAGCCCAGCACGGTGCTGCAAATGCAGTCTTCTCCACACCTTCCCAGAAGTCAGAAGGCTGCAGAGGCAGATGCTGTTGCGGGAAGAAAGGGAGCACATTCTCTCTTCAAGAGGAGTACTGGGTTCAATTCATCACTATATCACTTTTCATGTTTCCCCGAATTACTTTGTCTTTGGTCTCGATAGATAATAATAAGTTCTAATCTTGCACAAAGTGTGCAATGAGAAGTTGACTCAAAAGTCTTTATGGGGGCACAATGGCCTTGTACATTGGACAAGTATTTGTAAAATGGCTGCATTATTCCCTATAAACACCAGCTTCTCTTAGTTAAAGGGCATCTGAACAAAGATCCCTGCAAGATTATCTGGATTTTAAGAATCACGTTAAAAGCAGTGGGATGAAACTTGACCTGGATGCAAAGGTCATCAGTGTTTCAACCTCTGAGGCAATCATGCAGCTCCTTGTCTCCTGTGACATATGGAAGGAATGCTGGGAAAGCCACTTCTTCAATACGTGCCTAATACCATTTTGAGTAAACTTTTGTAATTTCAGTAATTCTTTTTATTTTATTTTTTATTTATAT